CACCAAGCTTTTAGAGTATAAATTTAATACACATGCACACTTACAATGTCAATAGTGACAACTAAAGTACTTACAGTCTTTTTACAGTTTAAAAACCACTTACAACTTGAGTTAAAATTTCAGATTACCCTGGGATCATGTACTGCTGTAGCCAGTGTGGGTACACGATGTTCTAGATTCAAAGCCAGACGTAGAAATTTTTAGTGGTCCTTTTATATGACACACCACAAAGTCATTTAATGGAAGCTAAGGGATAATGATCAAAAGATTACCCTAACAAGTAATTTTCAAAAACTTGGGAACAGTATGTCCACCATCCTGTTAGTTCTACGCTTAGTTCAAACACAATCATTCCTTTTTTATCATTCATTTGTACTTACTTGTAATATTAAAAGTATCATTTATAATTAGTACATGGTTACTATCTCTTTCCTAATCCATCAACATGTTGAAGTTTAGATTTACCCTGGTTTTCAAAAACTAAAATATTTTAATCTCTCAAATATGCTGGGGTATGTTAAACATTCTTGGAAATGACGATGTCCAGCCAGACCCTGATTTACAAACCTGTGACCGGAGATGCCCTTGATGTGGGCGTATTTACCTTGGAACTGCTGCTTCAGCTGGTGCTGCTGACCTTAAACTTTCTTCTTGGCCCGTCCTCTACCCCCATTTCATGCCAGTGGCAATCCAGAGGAGAATATGGAAGTGGAAACAGGAAAGGTAGGGGGATGTATTGCCAACTCATCCTCCTCCACCCCTGCCCCACCTCACAGCCAGTCTCACTGGCAGCATCCCTGCTCACTTCATCCCGTCCCATTCTGTTCCTTACCTTTTGCGCACCACTCCAGCTGCTGTAAGAAATGATGGCTTATTCACTTATGTGGAGTTCTGTCATGAAACACATCAATCTGCCTGCAATTGCTTGCTGAGGCTCAGTCCCCACTGCCACGCAGGCGCGGGGAGAATGCCTTCTCTGATCTCACCACCAGAGAGCAGTAGGGGAAAAAATTGCTGCATATTTTTCTTGGAGTACTGATTACAGCGACTTCGTTCTATACCCCTGCTTAGCATTAAGAGCCCCTATGGTTAAAATAAGCTTTGGGAGGACAAACCAAGAAAGTTAACACCCATTCAGAGTATTGTTTACAAGGGGAAATATTACTATGTCTCAATAATTCAACATACGTCTGAACTTTTAGAGCATACTGCCTGTAGTAATATTCAGAAAACGATGCCACTTTAACAATCCAAGGGCCTCTTCAAATGTTTTCTAAAATCCTCTCTATCCACCCTCCCTCAACACATGCAAAGGTTAAGCAACTGGACTTTCTGAATGTTCCTCATTTTTTTCTAAGTAATTGTAGATATGAGGGTAAGTGGAACCCTTATCTACAGGAATCTGAAAAACTCATGTTCTTTTGAGAAACGTTTTCCAAGGCAAATTCCCAATGTACTAATTCCTCTATTTTTGAAATGTCTATCCCTCAGCTCGAAAAAGAGCCCCCCCCAATTTGGCTTTTTAAAAATAAACTTTAAACTGGGAAGAGATAGTTTTAGCTTGTTTCACATGGAACCTTGATGGGAAGCAAATTTATATCCCCAAGAGATCCTTTTTAAAAAGACTTTTTTAGTTTGATGTTTAAAGTGCTTTACGATAAACCATGACTCGTTTTAATTTGTTCATGCAAATCTCAAATAAACCTGCACCTAATAAGTGGCAGCTGACCTCGTTTTATATTTTAATCCATATGAAGTTTTATATATGATACATTTAGATTTTCTTAATATTGTGAACATTAATGTATCAACCCATTTGAAATGACTGTTCATTCTTCTGATGATGAAAGTTTCACCAAAAAATCTGGCCATGCCATTCTATCATCACTCAGTCCTACACCCCAACACTCTGTGTTTCTGCTTAGACCTTGCTCTTCCTGGAAGTTTCTAAGGAAGCAAGGTCCGAAGGGGAATATGTAAGTTGAAACAGTGGAAACATTTTGTGAAAATGTACATTTTGGTAATTTTGATTTGAAATTAATAATATCAAGGAACTAAAAGACACTAAGATACTGAATGTTTGACAGACAGTAGTAACATCCTCAATTTAGTCGGGGTAAAGCTATGAAACCTCCATGTAATACAGTTCACTCTTGAAAAATCACATTATTTCCAAGTCCAGTAATGTAGATTTATTTTTATTCAGAAATACTTTCATATTCACTAATTGTAATTAAAAGTTTAAAAATTCAAAAGGGACAAAAAAGTACATGGGTCTTAGAAGCTATGTCAAACATGCAACATTATAAGGGTGACATTTAAACAGTATAATTTAGCCCTCTTGATTTTCTTATAATCAAATTATTACAACAGGAACACAAATATACCATATATTACTCTTTAGATTTTTGTTTTACAATATGTTATTGTCAGTGGGACACTTTAAAATGTTTAAACCTGACAGAAAAACATTTTTTAAAAAACATACCATGGACAAAAAAAGTCATCAGAAACACTCCTGTCCCTTTATACGGTGTGGGGATGAGAAATATTACCATAAAAAAAAAGTTCATCCCATTATTCTGGAGAGCTCTTTCTGAATAGTTAAACTTGGGTCTACTGTGCTTTAAACAGGACTCTTCAATTTTAGATTTAAAATTAATATTTTGTTCCTAAGTGACAAATGTACCCACTTTCCATATTCCTTTTCACTAATATCTTCTGACTTTTCCTCTTCAGTGGTTGGTTTCTGAGTAGCTCAGAGGTAGGCAGTTCTGCACTATATGAAGGAAAGCCTATCTCACAGCTGGTAACACGTACTTGCTGATCACAATAGTAAGTTAAACTGCTTTAGGAGTTAAGATGGAGATATTGTATTTTGGGGAAATAGCCCTTGGTTTGACATTTTGGAAGTTCTATATTTTGGAGAAGCAGCCTCAGAGGAGGGAATAGAGATGGCTCCTCTGTTAAACGTACCAGTTCGTCCTTACCTACTCAGCTCTCACAGTGACAAGGCCATCTTAGCTTGGGCCAAAGCCCACACTCTCCCCCTCTAATTCAGCCTGGTTCTGCCCTTTGGGATGGGGGAGGAGGGACTAAGAAGCTAAAACTGACCTCAGGGGTGAGGTTAGGGGATTAGGGAGCTAAAACTCCAGTACCTCTTGAATACCACAGCACTCTCCCGTAGTCCCACAAGTTTGGGTTGTGGTTTTGGAAGATGAGATGAAACTATTACTAATTCTTCTCTTCCTTCAACCAAAAGAAAATAAAGCCTCTTCAAGGCTTCTTTTAATGCTAATACAAACTTTATTTTATTTGTTAAAAAAGAACAGAGGTTTAGGTGGAAGAACTCCCAAGGAAACAAGTGAGTCACTGACAGCGACAGACCTGAATTTCCTGGGGATACCGTATTTGCCGGCGTATAAGACGATTTTTTGGCCCTGAAAAATATGCCTCCAAGTTGGGGGTCGTCTTATACGCCAGGTATACTTCAGATAGACTGCCCATAGTGCTTGCTCCGTGCCATAGTGGCCTCCCGATGCCCGCCCACTTCATTCCTCATACCGTTCAGGCATCAGCAGCGCTGCTGGGTGTATGCTCGGCTGTGTGCAATTTTGCGAGTGTGGTAAATTCGGGTTACCGTATATTTCTTTACATATGCATTGAAGATTCGCGATTTTGCGCTATCATGGTGCCTGTTAGAATGTTGAAGAGCTCGCACTTGCGCACTAGTGAGGTCCCAGGGAGATGCTGATGCAAGGGTGGACCAGACTGCTATAGTGAAAGGGCGGGCAAACAGGGAGCAGGGACCAATCAAATCAGGCTTTGTATACAGCCAACAGCCAACCACAATACTGCACCATTGTACAGTACAGCATAGAAAATGTCGACCAGTCAAACCCCTATCATCCCTATCATGGCACCAGCCAAAAGAAAGAAGTATGATGCAAATTTTAAACTGAAAGTTATAAACTTTGCTAAGGAAAATAATAATTGTGCTGCTGCAAGACAATATGGAGTAACAGAAAAGACGGTTCGGGACTGGAAATCAAATGAGAAAGCATTAAAGAGTATGCCAAGGGGTAAGTGTGCATTAAGAAGAGGCACCCCACACTGGCCAGAACTCGAAAAACATGTAGCAGACATGGTGGCTCAACATCGCCAAAACGGTTATGTGGTGACACGAAATACAATACGCTTGTTTGCACTTCAGTGGGCCAAATCAAATCTGATATTGTTTTACCTTTTATTTGGTGTGTGGAAGGTGTGCGGAAGAGGGGGTAGTCTTATATGGCGAGTATATAACAAACTCTGTATTTTGAGTGGAAATGTTAGGGGGTCGTCTTATACGCCCAGTCGTCTTATACGCCGGCAAATACGGTACCTCCCTCCAGGGGTTCAGCCCCCATACTCCCAAGCCCCCACACTCCATCCCAGCATCTCAGTCTGAGGAGAATAATACTGCGTGTTTGTAAAGACCAAGGCATCTCGCATTTACCATCCTGCACGCACTCTTGTCCTAGTCACCCTACATACTCTTACTCCTTATCTCTTCCAAAACACTTCTTCTGAAACAACGTCCATTGTTAGCATTTCATCTGTAAAACAACACATATAATTAAAACTCAGATTTATTGTTTTTAACAAAAAAAGTGCTTAAAGCCATACTATGCAATTGTCTCTCACTTCATTTTCAACCAGAAAAATCAAACTCATTTAGGTTTATGAATAATACTGAAAAAATGATAAATCTGATTATTCTCTTACATTTTTAAATAATGTGCTTCATTCCCCAACTTTCCCTTAACTGAGTCATTTCAGTACCTTAATGAGTTGAACTCTTGTCTGGAAAATCTAGAAGGTACAAATATATAGAATTTTTAGGATAAAAAAATTTCTGAATATAAAAATGTTGTCTAAATGTTTCAAAATAATACTTTTAGATTCTTCTTGTAGTTTGGATTTGGTAACTAAACTGTTTTAAGTACCCAAGTTTTTTTAAAAAATAACAAAAGATAATAACATGGTTTTAAATACACAGTTATAAAGGAACCACTCATATCTGTGGACTATCCCCATAGAAAATTTCAGTTTCTCGACAAGAAAAACCCAAATATTTTAGTCATAAAATAAAATTTCATTATCAAAAACTTGTTTCAGATAGACATCTATGCGCCTTAATGATTGCCAGAATTGCCCAGCATAGCTTCAGTAAAATACAGAATTGTCTGGAAAATACAATCTCCAAAATGTGTGCAAATCGGACCGACCGGAGCAGGGCAACGCCCTCGACACCAATTGCTGCTGCTTCGGCATCGTTCCCAGGTAAAAAGTCCCGTTTTCAGCCCTGTGCTCTGCATACGTCCTCAGTGCGCCGCCATTCATGCCGCCTTTTCGCTTCCCAATGCAGCCTTCTGTGTGGATGAGTGTCGAGGAGAAAGCGTGAATACGGTAAGCACTTTTCTTAGCTGTAAACGCTTCACATGATCGGGTCCCCATGAGAAGCTGTGGGAGCTTATATGAGCCTTGAGCTTTTCAGGAACTGGATGAGAACTCTGTATACAAACGTGTACTGGCAGAGCGTCTGCACCATCATCATTCTCTGCTGTCTCAGCATGTCCAGCACCCTTGGGATGTCTAGCACCTAGATTGAGAGAAACAGCGATGAGGGGAATGCATCCCCCGGAGAGAGATGGCGAGGGGGAGTCGGTGTCCTAGCAGAAATCTGACTAGGGGACACAGAGTCCCCTGTCTGTCTTAGCATCTTCCATTAAAAACCAAAGGAACACCTACACTGGCCACCACTGCGATGTACACCTAAAGCTGAAAATAATGAATGTCAACTATAATTTACACATATATATATATATATATATATATATATATATATATATATATATATGTATAGTCACAGGATGTGGAGCACAGCATTCGGAAGAGCATCAGTGGAACTGTAATAGCTACCGTATTTGCCGGTGTATAAGACGACTGGGCGTATAAGACAACCCCCTAACATTTCCACTCAAAATACAGAGTTTGTTATATACTCGCCGTATAAGACTACCCCCTCTTCCGCACACCTTCCACACACCAAATAAAAGGTAAAACAATATCAGATTTGATTTCAACATTTATATTTATATTCAAATGCTTATGACATGCAGGAAAACTGTCACAAGGCTGTATGTAATCAAACATATACATAAATCGCGATTCGCGATTTTGCGCTATCATACTGGGTGTATGGTCGGCTGTGTGCGATTTTGCGAGTGTGGTAAAATCGCATAACAGCAAAATCGCATAACAGCCGAGCATACACCCAGCAGCGCTGCTGATGCCTGAACGGTATGTGGAATGAAGTGGGAGGGCATCGGGAGGCCACTATGGCACGGGGCAAGCACTATGGGCAGTCTATCTGAAGTGTACCTGGCGTATAAGACGACCCCCCACTTGGAGGCATATTTTTCAGGGCCAAAAAATCGTCTTATACGCCGGCAAATACGGTATATACGATGTCAAAGGGGTAGTAGATTGGGGGAGGAGGGTTATCTCTTTGTGAGGGGTGTAAATGTCTAACTATTACATTGTTTTGTACACCTGAAACTAAAACAAAACAAAACAACCCAAGGAGCCTCATTCAGAAAAAGCTTCTAGTTCACTAGATTCCTCTTTTCCCAGCCTTGCGCCCAGCCCACTTCTGCCCCCACCAACGAAAGGAAACAAGCACCTCATTGTGTTCCAGACAGGCGATCATGATCTCTGACAAAATGACGACGCCAGTCCTTCCCACCCCAGCACTGCAGTGAACCAGTAGAGGAGGGTTGGGGCTCTTGGGTTCACTTGTGCTATTGGTATGGCGTCGAACAGACTGGATCTCTTCAAGGTATGCTGTGAATATCAATAAAATAGAAAAATACTCAGGGATTAAGACACAGCAAGTTGACAGCTTTCAGATTTTCTCCACTGATAGAGAGGACTCCAGACAAGGGGCACTCGGTGCAACGAACCCAAAGCCCAACCCCGAATGGACAGTTGGGCTTTGGGTCTTGGGTGAGTCACTGACTCTGCCAGGGCTTCCATTTTCTCATCTACAGAATGAAATGGAGGAGAAACTAAGAGTCGGTTCTAGCATTCCACTCGCTGCCAAATTATACTTTAAAACCATCTTCTGGTTAGCCTCCCCAGAATACTGGTTCCCTGAAAATAAGACCTAGCTGGAAAGTAAGCCATCGCGTGATTTTAGGTGCCAAAATATGGCACCTTGGCCTACTGAATATTTTAAGCTGAAGGAGTTTGTGGAAAAGGCACCCTTCTCCCTGAAACAGGTCATAAAACCCTCATGTGAGGGGTGCGTGTCCTCCATATCCTGGAGGAATCGTGCTAGGGCTTCTTCTCCGGTGAGGTCTCTTATTTTCAGGGAAACACAGTACTTAAAACTGTTTTAAAACAAGTCCAAAGTTTATAAGTGATGACATAAAGGAAATATGTCGGGAACATAAGTCCCCCTCTCTGTGGCTGAGCTGATAGCTCCAGCGGAAGCTATGCTGGGAATGGCGACACTTACATAAAAAGCCCTTGAGGTCCTCTGGACAGCCGTGCCCAGGCCAATCTGTGTACTGCAGATGCCAGACTGTCCTCTCCTGCCCCGTGAGAAGGTGCTTCATCTTCAAGCCTGTGGTGGCGTAGCAGCCGGAGTCTGTGCGGAACCGGGTGGTGATCTTAAACCTTCCGTAAGTGACGGTGTTGTGCCTGGAGCCAAGCCGCGGCCAGTACCTGAAGCTCTTCTCCCTTCCACCCTCCTGTTCGAGACAAGTACATGGACCGTCAAAGCCCAGCACAGAGCCAGCGCGGGAGCCCTTTCACACGGACGGCATGTCTGAAGGGCAGAACCGCAACCCCACCCTGCCTTTTGCTCTACAGGTCGGGATCCCACATGATCAACATTAACTTTTCAGCTGAGGCTGAGAAAATCAAGTAAGAGAAATGAGGACTTACCTCTTCTGCTGTCACCATTGCTATGATCGCAATTCCCTGTTCCCACACCATCTGCCAAAAATCCTGACAGGTGTTCTGTAATGGTCCCTGTGTGGCAATATAATCCCATTCAATTCCACTGACAGAGACCTGGAATTAGAAAAGGTTGAAAAAATTAATGTGTGTGTATATAAGACATGTATGTGGAAATGCACGGGTATACAATTTTTCATGGTAATGCTAAAAAGTGAACGGAGTTACTGAGCAGAATGAAGAAAGGCTTTCATCTTTCTTCTTGTTAGTACAACTTCCATTACTGACATCTTTATAAAGTTATGTACGGTGAAATTCACATAATATCTATGTGACCCGGAACAATTTGTTTAACCTCTCTGAATCTCAGTTCTCACGTGTAAAATAAAAATACTGCCGACCCGCCATAGGGTTGTTGCCAGAACCGAGTGAGTCAATATATGATATATGGTGCTGGGGACATAATCAGTACTCAGTACAATAGTTAATTATCGCTGCTGTTTGGTTCCTCCTCTTATAAAAATATCAACATCACAGTACCCCAAATTTCTAACACAATTTCCCCTCATGAAGTACTAAACACACTGGAAAAAGTATGAGCAATTAAGTCAAAACCAAAGTTAAATGTCAGATTTCCAGGTGAAAAAAATCTTCCTACTTAACGAAGTCTCACCTCTGTAGTTCTGAGTCAAGTTCACCCTCCATAATGATACTAAGTTTCCACTTAAGATTTAACCTCCTTGAGAAGAGTCTAATATAATAATTACTGGCTTTGTAGCCAGGAGATCTGGGTTAAATCCCAGCTCCATGGTTTTTCAGTGACAACAGTTAACTGTTTTCCAAGTGCCCGCTGAACATAAACCCTGTGCCAAGCACTGCTCCACCCACGCTCTCTTTTAAGGCACCAGCCCCGACTACAGCCCGTGTCCTCTCACCCAGCGCCCACTCAGTGGCAGGCACCGTGCTGGTACCAGTCACACAGCGAACAAGGACCAGGGAGGAAGGGTCTGACGGGGAGTCTAAGGGGGAGGTGTAGCATCTCTTTATTCAGAGGTGAGTGCCATGCGGTCCCACACGGGGGAGTGGTGGGCCCAGCAAGTCTGAAGCTCAAGCCCACTATTCTCCAGGTTGCCCCTGAAGATCCTGAAACACCACTACAGAACTGTCACATCCATCAGTCAGGAGAGACTGCGTGAATTATTCCAAAGAGATGCTCGCTTTTTAAATAAATTATGTCCATAGTGAAAAGCACGTACACAGATTCCCAAAGACCTTCAAGGGTCCTGGCATTCCCAGGCAGTTTGCCCGGTCTCTTAAAAGCCTCAAGTGTGAAAGTGCTCTTGTCAAATATCACTTGCAAACAAAATAAAATGTGGGAGAGAAGAAAAAAAACACCTGACCTTAGACACTGACTCACTATAAGGAAATTTCTCCTTCCCAAAATGAAGAACTGACTCTCGCCAGCACAAAGTGAAAGTGATGGAGAAGAGCAAGCATCTGGCTTTCCTCGCAATGTTGTGAATCATCACTTTTTCCCTTTTAATGGATGTAACGTTACTCAGTTAAATGGCATTATATTACTCCCAGGGGAAAAAAAGTGGCACTGCTTCTTTGAAGAACAAAATGTTTAAAAACAATTAGGAGTATGCAAAGAGAACAGATGGCACCATTGTAAGTCAAAGCTTTGGTGAACCCACCAAAAAACCCACTTTTTGTTACATAGAAATGCCTGTATGTTTGTCATGAGGAAAAATCAATTCAGCTACCCTTCAGAGAATTTCTGAGCTGGCAAGAAGCCTTCAGATTTAGAAGGACAAGTCCTACAGCTGGGCTAATCAGTGCTTCGAGTCCTGGTGACACTGTTGGGGGCAGAGGGGTTTGCCCCCCAGGAGAGAGTACACGTGGCTTTGGCTCTGCTGACAAACACTTTCTATCCAGCCCTGGTGTACAGATGTCCCAGATAATAATATTGCTTTTCACAATGGTTTAAAACTAGGGTGTTTTGGGCCAGCCGAGTGGCGTGTTGGTTAGGAGTTGGCTTGGGATGTCAGCGCTGAGCAGCAGGGCCCCGGTTTGGATCCCACATGAGGGCCAGTGACGCTGCGCCCTCTACAGCTGACAGCTTGACCTGGAGCTGGGCTGCCGCGAGTCGCCAGCAATGCCGTAGGCTGCAGAGGGGCTGGCCAGCAGCGGGCATGAGCTTTCGTGAGCTGCTGTGAACCGCCGTGAGCGGCTGTCCAGTGGCCAGTGAGTGACTCCCTCACCCGGGAAGAGCACAATGATAATACCAACATGGGCCAGTGAAGCGACGTCCTCCACAACTAGACTGAAGAACAAAAGGACAACAACTTGTCTGTTCCCTTTCCCAGATTCCCCAATGCTGTTCCCCTCCCCCAAATCCCCAATAAAATCTTTTAAATAAATAAATAAACAAACAAACAAACTAGGGAGTTTTTAGAAGACAAACATGAATACAATTCTAACGTTCTTGAAACTTCACATCCTGTTTATTATCCTAAACATCTTCTCACCTTAATATGAGACGCATTGATGTAGCCAGTATTGTTTTCTTTGGTTGGGACCAACTCCACTCTGGCATCATCATAGGGAAGGACATCTTGGAATCGATTTCTTTCTGCATTTTCAGGGAGGCGTGCTGTTGAGCACTCCCCATCAACTAGCCGTTTTTTAAGAATTCTTTCATATTCTGTGAATACCATTCCCTGTTCTAACCGCTGTTCCAGAATTTTACACTGCAAAAAAATATGTGGAATAATATGAATATAGTGACATGCCACAGCTGCATTTTGACTGTACATTTGAAATCTCATTTTCTGCTTCAAGTCTAGCATGATGTAATACTGAAAATTCTAGGTGAAACCAAAGAAAATTTTTAACAAGCCATGACAGTAACAAATGAAATAACCTTACTAGTGAGAAATAAATACAAAGTTCTGTTTAAAGGTGAAACGGCCTAAAGCAATTTGTTGAATTCATTTTCACTAAATTTATGGTCAGTCTTGTGACCCCTATGAAACAGAAAATTCTCCTGGAGAACAGTAAATCCTAGAGTAGAATAATCAATTCCAAAATCTATGAACAAATGCTTCAATTTTATAATACATAATTACATAGTTTTAAAAACCTGAAAATAGTGGTAAATATTGGAAACTATCTCCAGGATCCAGTTGTAAGCAAATTAGACTTTCATGCCTGTCTCAGTCACAAAGGGAAGCTTTGAAAAATTCAGTTCACTTTACTTTTGAGATAAATTTTCAATAAAAGGAAAGCAGTCAGTGCCTGCTTCCTTTCCTGTGGGTACTCATAGGCATTTGTAGGTTTCCTTGAGCTTTAATGCCATCAAAAATCAATACTGCCAGGTAGATGGATGAAGGTAAAGAATATTCAGGAACAACAGCAACAAAAAATTCAACATTCCAGCCTGAAATTATCTAGTAAGACATTACCTTTAAAAGTCCCCCCATTTTGAGGTCAATTACAAAATTCCTTAATGCTCATTAATGATTATTAAAGGTGCTGGAAAATTCGCTACAATCTCAGGAAGCAGTTTTGGAGCCTTTTATCCACCATCCCAGAGAAGGGACACAGCCCATGTGTCTCATACGTACCCTCTCATCATTAGTGGCTCTGGCAGGCACTTCCTTTCCTTCATCGGGCAGAGGCAAGCGAGATAGGGAGAGTCCATTCAGGGCAGCCAATTTGAGAGGGCCAATTTTCTTTGCATCTACTCGGCTCTTTTTCATTCCCTATAAAAGTATGTATCTGTATATATGAAATACATACACAAATACAGCCCCTTTGGAAAGAAATTTCATTGGACTGAAGACTGGAAACAGAGTCCCCTTTGTCAACAACCACAGAAGAAATTACACGCCACACAAGCACACACACCTTTGTTAACAAACATTAGGAGGAAGACATTCCTTTCAAGGCCCAAGCCCTGATAAGGCTTCCAGATAGAAGGTTTTGAAATGCAGCTGGTTTCAGGGCTCTGTGGTAATGAGGTGAGGCTCCAGGCCGGACGGCATTCCTAAACAGAACTCCCAAATTTCAAAACCTAGCACATCAAAAAAATCAGCTGCCGTCCACAAAAAAAGTTTTTTAATGTAATCACCTGATCAAAATAAGCTTTTGTAATTTAAAAAAAATATAAATTAGTTCTCTAAGTCATACTGGAAAAAAAACAATAAATGTTTTCTGTAGCAGCTCTCTCTATTCTGTTCTACACTATGTTGCAGACTTGTGTGACCTGGGTTGGATCACCACATCTCTCAAAACCACATGTTTAAACCAGGAAAACAAACAGGGCTGAAATCTCCATCATGACACCAGGAGGATGGGGTACGAGAGACAGCATCAGCAGAATTCTATCTCCTGAAAACAGGTGTTTCCTAAAGTTATTGTTAAAGCTAATGATTTTCTTCTCTAAGGAAAACACGCCTAAGAATGCTAAGTCTCCTTAGATATTCTATAATACACCTCCTTGGAAGCCATAATAAGTATAATGACAGTATCCTCAATTTGAAAGCAATGGTTTCCTCAGTTCTGTCTCATAAATGAAACCAGCTCTCCCAGCCTGGGAGGAAGGGAGGAGTAGGAGACAGAAACAAAGGGAGAGAGAGGGAGACTAAAAGGTTACTGCATGGGCGAAAATTTCATGATTCTAACATGTGCAGAAAACAGTGGTATGCTGGTAAATGTTTAACGACTGGCTCTCCAGGACAAAAAGTTCTGATCAGCAAAGTCTGCCTATTTCCATGATGTAAACACTCCACCGTGCTCAGCCTCAAACTGCCAATGCAACATCAACTGGCTTACAAGAGTCCTGAAACTTGAACAGCTCTTGCCAGCCAAGTTCCAGCACTTCTCTACCTGAAAATGAGTCAAAATGCCCCAGCACGGATGTGCTGCACAAAGTTGATTGGCTGTAAGGTCCATTCTAACACCATTATTTGAAGAAAGGGGCATACTGTCAAAAGTAGCCTCAAATACCCCTTCTTTAGCCCTTAGAGTACAAGCACAACCTGCACAGTAATTTCTTACAAGAAAACCACCAAATACCAAAGGTGCAACAACAAAAAAAACCTTTATGTGGCTGTATGAGCACTCCAACCAGTCTACCATTTTCAGATAAGAATCAAGTCCCTGGAAGTGGAAATGGGTGGAGAGCTCTAAAATGTTCCTGCTTGTCTGCAACTTATTTCAGTGTTTAATACTAAACCTCTATCACCTTAATTCCCATTAGCATGTGAACTAAGTTGGTTTGTTGTAACAAACAGTATAATGGCAAACCTGTTTTACTATGAGGGGTCAGAAGGTTTAGTACAGGGTTGAGCTCTTTAATTCTTGGGAAGGCAGGAAGTTAAAATGTTTGATGCAACCTTATAGTAATAAGTTAAATTTGACCTAGCATTTTCTATGTGCCAGGACCTCCCCTTTATCCCTCCAACAATTCTCTGGGGTCATCTTCCTTTACAAACGAGAAAACGGAGTCAGAGACATTAAATAGCTCGCCCAAGGTCACTAGCTGCCTCTTCCTAGAGAGAGATGGTAATCAGTGTCAAAACAATAAAAGCTACCTTTCATTAAAATCAGTTATGCTGCAGCATAGAAAATCAGAAAGCATTTTTTGCGCCTCCATGGGGCTTACTTAGCACAACGCCCCAGCAGGCAGAGCAGAGACGACTGTCCCTGTGTGACATGGAAAAGCTGAGGTTCTGCTGCATGACGGTCCGGCTCACGGAGCAGAGAACTAACACAGAAGGCCGAGTCTAGACTCAGACCCAGTTTTCCACTCTTAGGTCCACTCTTTTCTCCTGGCCACAGCTGCCATACACATTCTTCGAGTAGGGAAAATCCCTTATTGGAAAAGGGGAGTGAAAACATAATCCAATGACATAATTTTATTAATACTATAGGTCTTAAAAGTCAATGAGAAGGGCCGGCCGAGTGGCGCGATGGGTAAGAGCTGGCTTGGGACGCCAGAGGGCCCCAGTTCAGATCCCACATATGAGGGCCAGTGACACTGCCCTCTACAGCTAAGATGCTGAACAACAGCTCAACCTGGAGCTGGGCTGCTGTGAGTCGCCGGCGACGGCGTAGGCTGCAGCCCCTGTTGCAGTGGGTTGCCATGGGCTACCGTGTGTAGCCAGCAGCCAGCGTGAGCGGCCAGCAGCCAGCGTGAGCGGCCAGCAGCCGCAGTGAGCGGCCGTCCAGAAGCCGGCGACTGATCTGCCTCGCCTGGGAAGAGTGCAATGATGGTGCCAACTTGGGCCAGTGAAGCAACGTCCTCCACAACTAGATTGAAGAACAAAAACGACAGCAACTTGTCTGTTCCCCTTCCCCCAATTCCCCAGCACTGTTCCCATCCCCTAATTCCCCAATAAAAATCTTTAAAAAAAAAAAAGTCAATGAGAAAAGAAAATTTGTGTTTTTAGAGACCCAAATTGATCAAAGCCCTCAGATTTCACAGAACTTTCTAGGCCCATTAAAAACATACAGGGACAGGGGTGGCCGAGTGCACGTTGGTTAAGAGCTGGCTTGGGAAGCCAGCTCTGAGCAGCAGGACCCCGGTTCGAATCCCACATCAGGGCCAGTGACGCTGCGCTCTCTACAGCTAAGATGGTGAAAACAGCTCGACCTGGAGCTGGGATGCCGTGAGTCACCAGCGACAGCGTAGGCTGCAGCCCCTGCTGCAGTAGGTTGCCATAAGCTACCGTGAATGGCTGGCAGCTGAGCTGGCGTGAGCTACTAAGAGCCACTGCGAGTGGCCATCCAGTGGCTGGCGACCCATCTGCCTCGCCCGGGAAGAGTGCAATGATAATACCAACTTGGGCCAGTGAAGCAATGTCCTCCACAACTAGACTGAAGAGCCAAAGGACAGCAACTTGTTTCTTCCCCTTCCCCGATTCCCCAGCGCTGTTCCCCTCCCCCAATTCTCCAATTTAAAAAAAATAATAATAATACAGGGACAATAAGCCTGAATACTGGACCATACTCAAAAGGATCATCTAGGGAAAACACTTGGGTCACACATAAAAATGATGGACATTCTTGATGTGATTAGGGATGAGCATTACCGGGCCCTGTGCAGCTGGCTCGGGGGCTCAAGCACCTACTGTGGAAGACACATCCATAGCCTTGTCTCACCCTGCACCTCTGATCATGAGCCCGTACCCTGCACTACGGCCAACCTGACACTTACCTTCACTGTCCAGGTAGGTGAGTAAGAATGTACTCCCATGAAAATAAAAAATAAACTTGAAATTCAAACCCAAAATTCATTAAAACACATTTAAATCCATGGCACCACTGTTAGTTGTTTTAGTGTATGTATACTCATCCATTTCATGAGAACAATATTGTGTGAATTTTTTTCCTGCTCATGAAGAGGTTTCTAGCATCTCAAAGGAGTTAAATACTAGGCAAGAGCCACACTTCAATGGGCCCTCAAGTCTGGGTTTGCAGAGACTGGGTGGGAGCCACGGAGAGGCGGAATGCAAGGGTTAGTTCATCTCTTTAGCTTGCCCAGAGCGCAGGCCATGGGGTGTGGAGGCACGGGCATACGCAGGTGGGAGCCTGAGCATCGCAGCAAGATGACTTAAAGTGGACCTGCTGACGTGACAAAAACACACATGCTTGGCCAAAGCTTGGGGACTCCAAGTTAAAAGGTTTCAGTGGAAAGACAGAGAACAGCAAGGCTTAGATAGGCAATTGTTACTAAATAAAATATTACACACACTATAGCTCGATGCAGAACAGTGCAGAAGACAAGAGAACAGGTTGCACTGATAAATATGGGTTTAAAATTCCAGTTCAGCCCCTCACTAGCTATGTGACCTTGGGAACGCTACTTAATATCTCAGAGTCTATTTCCTCATCTGCAGGAACAACAGACCTGTTGTAAACTGGATGCAGTAAAGCAGATGACATGCTGGGTACATGGCAACTGCTCTGGGGATGGCAGCCAGAGATGATGTTTTGCTCTTTTATATTTTGCTTCCAGTCGGTAAGAAGTGCTTAACTTGTTCACAGTTACTTATTCTGCTGAATATTAAAGAGCTGCATTTTCTACAAGAGACCTTCCTTGGGTTCTCAGTCCATTTAATCTTTTTTTTTAAAAGAGACCTGGAGCTCTCTTGACAAAGTGCCACCTTCCCAACTCCAGGAATGCTCTCCAGCTCTCAGAGATCGTGGCCAAGCATCTGAGGCCGTATCCACACGACTCCGACATAAGGACACAGGAGGAACACTTCCGTGGATGCTACACTCAGACAGCACGCCAGCAAACCAAACAAGTGCAGCCCTGGGCGGAGGCATCAGCACAGGGTCCTGCTAACGGGTGGCTAACAGAGCAATCTAGCTGAAGTCATGAAACCTTAACTGCCTTTTTTTCCTTCACATTGTACTGCTAAAACATTTCATTCATTCTTCCTATTCCATTCTACAGAGCCTCCTACATTTATTTTCACTTCATCTAACATCTCTAGAAAAAAATGCTGAAATTCTAGTCAATCCCCGTTATTTCCATAATCCAACTGAAATGCGTTCCAAATAAGACAAAAATAGAGTGACATGTAGGGTGTGTGTGGGGAGGGGGGGGAGGGAAGGGGGAAATATAAAAAGTTAAGAGGAAAAAAAACAAAAGCTGAAAAACCTTAGAAGCAATGAGTGAAAGGAAAGACTGGCAGAGGCACACGGCACCCTGCTCGCTCACCCCTAATGGCGGCAGTCCTTCAACGATGTTCTTCTTTCCCGAGAGGAGGTCTGACACCGGCCTCTTCTTCAGAGAATCCCTCCGGGCCCGGTACCTGCCCGACGTGGTGAGGTCGGACTCGGACATGGAGGGCGTCAGCAGCCCGTCCCTCCGGGGCCGCTGGGCCTCCACGAGCATGTGCACCGGGCTGCCCTCCCTCGCCCTCCGCTCAGCCTCTGAGACGTGGGCCTTGGGCTCCAGGATGTGCAGCGGGCCGACGGCGGGGACCGGGGCGCAGGAGCAGCCGGGCTGCGGCTCCTGGGAGTAGCCGGCCCGGGGCTCACGTGCCCGCGGGGAGAGCCCGGCCCGTGCCCTGTGCTCCTCCTCCAGGTCGTCCTCCTCCTCGCTGCTGTGTATCAGCATGGTAGCCTCGGACAGAGACTTGTTGTGCCCGTATCTCGGGCCTCCCTGCTCCTCCGTCTCTCCTCGCTTTGTCCTGTCGATGAAAACGCTTGGCTGGGAGCCCGCGGCCACGGCCCGCGGCGCCACGTCTGCGGCCGAGGCCGACATGGTCCTCTCCTTGAACCTCATGCCTTCAAAGCTGTGCGCGAGCCCGGCGAGCTCCACGCTGTTCCTCTTGTGCGCGTGCGCGCGCCGCGCCGACGTCAGGGGCTCGCTGACCTCCTGCAGGGAGTGGGCCACCGGCAGGCTGTCCTCCTGGAACGTCTGCACCGAGTGGTGGACGCGCCTGGTGATGAGGTCCGGGTTGCTGCTGCTGATGTACAGATGGCGGGACAGGTCGGGCGTGCTGTTGGCGGGCCGCGGGCACGGGTAGGGCGGCGGCGGCCGGTACACCTGCGTCTTCATGATGTTTGGGGCCGGGTAGTCCTGGGCCTGCAGCTGCACGTTGGTCAGCTCGGGCACGCTGACAGCGCCCACCACGGGCCGCCGCTCCGCCGGGTAGGGGTAAGGAGACTGGCTGTGGAAGCTGTAATTCAGGTTGAACGGGCAGTGGGCCGACTGGGGGGAGGCAAACAGGGCGTGCTCCCGGATCTCCGGCTGGCTGTAGACCAGCGCGTCGGGCCTGCTGTAAGCGTACGAGTTGCCGATGCTGAGGTTCCGCAGCGAGTGGCTCTGCCTCTGGGCGTGCGCCATTCCTCGGTTGAGCTGCTTCATCACAGTCTCGTAATCTGGGGTCGGGCGGTAGGATGGGGGTATCAGGGCGCTGTGCCGATGAGACGGGACGTAGTCGGGTCTCATGACGTCGCTGCCAGTAATACTGGGGTTGGAGGACATGGGTGAGGGCTGCAGGTAGGGCTGAGGGTTGTTTAAGGAGTTAGTGCTGTGTGCACTGTAGACGCTGCCGTTTCGGATCCGACCACTGAGGTCAGTCTGGGCCCGATCCAAACTTGTCTGAGAGTGACAATAGTATCCGTTCTGGTTGGTCACAAAGAGGTTATCTGGAGGACAAACAAAAATAAATTAAATAAATAAATAAATAAATTTGTATTTTAAAACGAGATTTTTTTAAATGTATGAAATTGGACCAATTACTCCAAATACTGAGCTAGGTCCTGAAGGATGATGACACTTTCACTGTAGCTTATGAAAACCCATGCCGAAAGGACCTGCTTCCCCACACATGCCGAGCGACCCTGAGCAGGTCATTTCCTGGAGCCCCGGCTTCCTCATCTAAAGAACGGCAATGGCTCCGCCTACTCCAAGGGTGGTTGGTATTCAGGACTTGGCACCCAATAAAGTTCAGCCACATCTAAGTCCAATATTAACAGCACAGTTGTATCACAAAACATTGTCTTTTTCTGAAAGTCAAAAAGATGTGTTTTACTAGAGACAAAACAGGCCTTCTGGAACCCTAGGGGGCTGTGGGCAGAGATGCCGTGCAGGCGCTGGGCCACGGACTCTGCTTTCTCCCCCTGGTGGGGATGTGGCCTTGCTGATGCTGAGCTAGTTCAAGCACCAACTATCTGTAAATCCTTAAATGGAATTGTAGGTTGTCTAAGTTCTTCCAGAATGAACATAAAAGGGTAGCAGTTCAGCAGGATCTGAGCTTCTCCGGGTCCAGCAGCGTCACCAGTAGCTGTCCACCTCACTAGGGGGACAGAAGCCAAGTGAGGTTTAAGTGACAAGTGATTATCAAAGTGAATACTCTGCAGTCTGGTGTGTGGACTTCATTTTGGTGGCACACAGCCACGAAGAAACAGGACTCAAACGCATTGTCGTATTCTTCCTGCCAATACACAATGCTTCCTTATCCCTATAGTTTTCCGATATCTGGAACACACGCAATCTCTGAGTCTCTGGAGCCCCCCTCTTCTCCCTGCCCGCACAGCTCAGGTCCTCACTCGGGCCTGTCTGGACTGGCACAAGCCAGGCCCACCTGATCTCCCTGCCTCCAGGCTCCTCTGTGCACCCTACAAACCATCCATTTGTGTGCCCATATGTGTAAGACATTCTGCTAAGAACTGATGGGGAGAAAATGACTGGAATCAGGCAAATAAATGGGGTAAGGTATATATAAAAATCACCATAACTCAAGGAAGTGTTACAATTTAAGGAGGTAAGTATTTCAGGGGTTCCGAGGGGGGAAGGATCACTTTGAACTTGGGCTGGGTTGATGGGGACATGGAAGAGAAGATCAAGAACCACCTCACAGAAGACATGGCATTGCAGGTGGGGGAGGTGGGTGGGGGAGGCCAACCCAGCTTTCATCAGTAGCCTCCTAACTCTGAGATCAGGCATAGCCGTGTGATCAGTTATGGTCAAGGGAACGTGAGCAGCGGGGTGATAGCCAGTTTCCATGCTCCCTTCCCCCTGCCACACTGGCAACAACATTCCATATGGAAGAGGCTCCCGCAGCCCAAACTCCTGAAGTAGGCTGACATGGAGCAGGGTCCTCCTGGCAGTGCACGATGGACAGATAACCTGAGCAAGCAGCAGCCTGTACTGTGCAAGCCACTGCGAGTTTAGCACTGTTTGTTCCCACGGCACATCCCAGCCTATCCTGACCGGCTGGAAGCATGTAGGCAGGAGGGTACGTGGGGTAGGGGCATGCTGGGTGAGCAGAAAGGGCAAAGCCGAGACCACTCCTAGCGGGCATGCTCAGCTCGGCTGGGGTATCAGGTGCTCGAGAGGAGTGAGAGAACAGTGGGAAATAAGACTGCAAAAGTAACATGAGGGAATATTATGGAGAGCACTGAACACCAGGCAGGGAATGGTCATCGGGTAGATGAGATGAGCCTGGCAGCCGTGTGTCAGATCAACCAGGGAGGGTGGAGAGTGAAGAAATCAACTCCTGTGATGCAACAGCTAGTGAGATGGTTAAAAAAAAAAAAAAAGAAGAAGACTTAAACGGATCAGCAGCAGAGGGACAGGAAGAGGGGACGTGGAACACATATGAAGTTGGGGGCAATACAATTTGTAACTGACTAGAAGTTGAGGGCAAAAAAAGAAAAATTACATGCAGTTTGGAATCCAAGGAACCAGGAGAGTGACTTCATCAAAAAGATGAAGTAAGGAACGTGAGAAAAGGGACAAACTTATAGAGTGAAGAGCTCCAATTTAATATTTCAATCCATGTTCTGCAAGTTGTAATAGCTGATAATATTTACTGTGTGCCTACCATAACGCCAGGCACTTCACTGAGAGCTTTACATGCCATAGCTCCAGTGGGAAATGTCGATCTGACAGCCATCCTTGCTGAAATCTGAAATGTGGGTGAGCCCGCTGTGGAAGCCTGCAAAGGGAGGGAAGGCGGCCAGGGGCAGGCCCTCAGAGCCGTGAACAACACTGACGGTGCAGGAGGAGGAGCGGGAGCCCAGCACACTGAGAGGAGATTTGTCAACAAGGAGAGATGCTGGAGTTTGATGTGGGAAGCATGTGTGGGGTGCTGGAGACCTGCCAGGGGGCAGCGTGGACAGAGCAGCAAAGGCAGAAGGAGTCAACGGATAACCAAACAGAAGCATCACACAGGTGTTCCTCTCCAAAGGGGGGTAAAAGAAGAAAGGGAAAAAGAATCATCCAAACCATAGTTGGAAGAGAGAAGAGAGGAAAAAATACCAGGAGGTTTGTAGACCCAGGAAAAGGACTGAGTAGGAAGGAAGCACTAACTACACAGAGAGAAGAGCCTTTTCCCAGAAGTGAGAGGGGCTGGTTGCAAAACCAGTAAGAGCAGGTGCGACGAGGAGAGCATAGTGAAGAAGGTAAAAACCATCCCAAGGTGGACACTCAGAATCCACACCTCAAAGCACCGCTCCCCTACTTCCCACCTCACTACATGGAAATTCTCATCTTTACCATATGGCCTGATACAGTCACAACCCACCTTCTGGGCCCTTCACACAGCATTTCCTACCAGTTCCCTACGTGAGTCCACTAGACCACTTTACTCTCCAAACCCCCTCTTCCTCATTCTGTGCCATGGCATTCACTGCCCCCCAAAACCAGGAGTAGCAATCCCAATCAGCAATCCCTTCTCTCTCTACCTGTTGAAACCCACCCATTTTCTGAGGTACAGAAAGCCCTCCTCAGTCTCCCCAACATGATGACAGTCATTCTTCCATCAAATGGCACAGGAATTGCTTGCTCTCGCTCATCAAAACAATCATGTTCTCTTTGTATTGAAGTTATTTGTGTAACTGTCTTATGCCCTATTAGACTGTAAGCTTCTTAAGATGTAGAATGACTTCTCTGCATAAATCTCCTTGGCCTTTATACTAGTGCAGCGGTTCTCAACCTTTCACAGGGGTCGCCTAAGACCATCGGAAAACACGTATTTTCGATGGTCTTAGGAACCGAGACACCGCTCCTCTATCCATCTTCAGGCCCACATGCAGATATGCCCACATACGAGTACCCGGTGACCCCTGTGAAAGGGTTGTTCGACCCCCAAAGGGGTCGCGACCCACAGGTTGAGAACCGCTGTACTAGAGCCTTGTAAACAGAGTAAACAGTAAATGTCTATTAAACAAATGCTTGAGACTCAGCTTTGGAAGTGGTGTGTTAAATACAGCTCCCTACACTAATCAAGTGAAAAATAAAAATAAATAAATAAAAATACAATGTTTAAACCTTTACAATGGGAAGGTCTCAGGCAGGGAAGAATCAAAATGAACCTGGGATATATTGTATTGGAAAACAAGGAAGCACTCAAAGATTAATGGGGGAGTATTAACAGGACATAATAGGATCCATCTTGAAGAAGTGCCATTGGACCAAATTTGGGATCATGTGAGCATCAAAATTTAATATATAAGATCCAGCAATTCCTCTTCTGGGCGTTTACCCCCCAAAATATGAAAACACTTTCATAAAGCTATATGTACCCCTATGTTGACTGCAGCACTATTTACAATAGCCAAGACATGGAAACAACCTAAGTGTCCATCAATAGATAAATGGATCAAGAAGATGCATGCACACATGTGCACGCATGTACACACACACACACACACACACACACACACACACACACTGGAATACTACTCAACCATAAAAAAAAGAAATATTGCCATTTGTGGCTCATGGATGGATCTTGAGGCTATTATGTAAGTGAAATTCTTGAGGGTATTACGTAAGTGAAATAAGTCAGAAAACGACAAACACTATGATTTCACTCATGTAGAATATGAAACAAAAAAGTAACAAATGAACTAAAAACAAAAACAACGCATAGATACAACAGAACAGTGATTTTTAGAGGGGAGGAGTAGGGTTAGGGCAAAGTATGTAAAGTGGGTCAAATATATGGTAACAAAAGGACTTTGGGTGGTGAGCACGCAATAGAGATATTGAATTATAATGTTGTACACCTGATATTTATATAATGTTATTAACCAATGTTACCTTAATAAATTTAATCTTTAAAAAAATGTAACACAGTAGATCCCCTTGCCCATAGTTTCACTTTCTGCAGTTTCATTTACCGTCAACCATGGTCCGAAAATATTAAATGAAAAATTCCAGATGTTTTGAGAGAGAGAAAGACCATATTCACATAATTTTTACTACGGTATGTTGTTATAATTGTTCTATTTTTATTATCAGTTATTGTATTAATCTCTTGCTGTACCTAATTTGTAAATTAAACTTTACCATAGGTATGTATGTGTAGGAAAAAGCATAGTACATACAGGGTTCGGTACAACCCGCTGTTTCAGGCGTCCACTGGGGTCTTGGAATATATGCCCCATGGATAAAGGAAGACTGCTGTACTGCATATTTTCTACACATGTCCAAGAAATTGAATATAATGGCGGCTCATTCTATGAATCCAGGATGGCTATAATCATGACAATTTTGGATATAACTTCAGCCAAAAATTATCCTGGCTTCAAGATCTCCAAGTCGTCAAAATTTATTCAAATTGTAATAATTCTGAAAGGCATTTGAGAAGTAGGATACCTTACCTTGGGAAGAAGTGTACGGCTCTGTATAATGTCCATTGTAATGCAGCTGGGGCTGAGGAGGCATCACGTAAGGTTGGGGTTTAGGCTAAGAATTGGAAAGGTGGAAATGGGGTTAAAACACATTGCCTATGTAATATATGTAAAGTAATTTTCTGCTGGCTTCTTTCTCTCCATTAAAAACCTTCTAAAGGTGTCAAATATATTATACATGAAACTAAACATGAAGACCCTCTTGCTCTTGCTATATCTGTCATTTCCAGTGGTTTCCAGAATGGCAATGCCAAGCCCGAGGCACTGTTATCAGACAGCAGACAGCATAAGAAAACAGGCTGTATCCAGAAAGTTCAGAGCAAGAAGGAATAGACTCAAATTTCCTGGATTCTTATATAAACAACTGAATATAAGAAGCTTATATGTAGTAATGTTACTAGGCAAAATTGTCTAATATGTCAAATATCTACTAACTTCTGATTACTCTTGGTTAATAGTCAAAAATTTTAACATTAGGCTGGACCTAATATTTAAATATGTGTAATATAATATGATAAATATTACATATATTATATAAAAATTGGGCTGAACCTATGGAAAAATCACCATTTCTTTGGTCAAAAACAATCAAATACCGACACACTTTTGTGGTTCAAACTAAAAATTAACACTACCAAAGGCCTTATTAAGGAAGATAACATCACTAAAATAAAAAAAGCAACTGTAGTTTTCCCTTTTTCTTACCAGAGACATCCTGGAAGAAGACCTCCTCCTGACTGGGTTCACTGTGATGGTCTGAGTTTGCCTGTAAAACAAGGCACGTGTCTGAGAAGAACAGATGTATGTTTGCGCGCGTGCATACACGATATCTTCCTAATTCTACCAAAATAAATTAATAAGAAGTTAAAATGATAAATCTTATAGCATGAGAAAGACAAACTAATCCAATCATAAACCTGAGAAAGGAGCGGGGCCGTGGCCCTTTCCTGCTGCCCAGTTCCCTCTGACCGCATGCCAGGGTTTGAGCCTCCTCATGGAGCATTAGCGGGCCCAGCAGCGGTAACTTCCCCTGGTCCATCCAGGTAAAACCTCTGGAGTAACCGTAAGCAGTGGGGAAAAGAGGCGAGGCTAGATCAAACTCATCCCAGGGGAAGCAAGGTGCAGAGCAATGGGTCTGTCCCGTAGCCTGGGTCAGCACTGACCCAAGTCCTGAGGGTGGCCAAAAAAAAAAGCCTGCAGCAATGGGAACTGCCTTTAATTAAAAGTCTGTTAACCACAGGCTACAGACAATGAAGAGCTCAATTTATAAGTTTGGTTACTTAAGAATCTATATTTCCTCTACGAAACTAAGTTAGGGAAAAACAAAAAAGTAAAAAATTTGGTTCATTGGGCCTGTGGTAAACCCATCCACCTTACTTTCAAGAAACTTTTCTCTGATTAGGTTTTTTTTTTGGTTTTTTTTGCAACTTAAATGGATGCAATTTATTATTCATAATTTATATGATAAACAAGTTGATAAAAAACAAACAAACATGCAAGCACTGGTTTAGTAGTCAGTCAATGGTACTTAATTTTCAACCCAATCAAATCAGCCTTAGAATAGCAAAGGTCTTTTGGGAGTGCCTATTTTAAAATAATACCATATGGTATTAACTGGCATAAACAAAGTCTAATCTATTTAGAATTAAATTGACTTATTTGTTTGATTGTTTCTCTGATTAGTTTTAAATGCACTTTTCAAAAAGCAATGAGAATATTAAGGAGTGCCGGGCTGGCCGAGTGGCTTGGTTGGTTAAGAGTTGGTTTGGGACGCCAGTGCTGAGCAGCAGGGCCCCGGTTCGGTTCCCACATGGGCGAGTGACACTGCACCCTCTACAGCTAAGATTGTGAACAACAGCTTGACCTGGAGCTGGGCTGCCGTGAGTGGCCAGCAAGGGTGTAAGCTGCAGCCCCTGCTGCAATGGGCTGCCATGAGCTACTGTGAATGGTCAGCAGCCAGTGTGAGCAGCCAGCAGCCGGCAGCCAGTGAGAGCTGCCTTGAGCTGCCATGAACCGCCATGAGCGGCCAACCAATGGCCAGTGACCAACTGCCTCAGCCAGGAAGAGCTCAATGACCATAATATCAACATGGACCAGTGAAGTGGTGTCCTCCACAACTAGACTGAAGAACAAAAGGATAGCAACTTGTCTGTTCCCCTTCCCTGATTCTCCAATAAAATCTTTAAAAAAAAAAAAAATTTTTAAGGAGTGCTGACATTTATCACAAGTTCCATCTTTGAAGAAAATTAGGTAAAAAAGGAATAAGAAACAGTAAAGTCCATTTGTAATTCTATCATTTTTTAAACAGAGGCAGGCGTTTTTTTGTTCTTGTGTGTGATCAGTTTTATCACAAGATCTAGGAATGTAAACCCAGGCTTCTGGGCTTTGCTGATGACTTACAGTTTTGTCAAAGCGCTTTTAAAACACCCTTTACCACCTGTTCCTGGCTCATGAACTTATGTAACACATAATTACTGATTACAAAATTATTTTCTGACCTTTGGTTATAGTATTCTAAGGACTAATTACTAGAAAACCCATAATCACAAAATGAATCCTCACTCCATTTAATCAGCAAATTTTCCATAATATCTAGCCTCATGTCTCATAAATTAACATTATTTCTTAGTATTCTAACAACTAATATCTTATATTCCAACCCTGAATATTAGCTTATTTTCACAAGATTTTTGAGATAAAGGAAAATTAGTGCTTATTAAGCACTTAACAGCAGGTGACTGCAATTGCTTTTACTAGCTGACTTCTTTAAATTAAATGCTTTCTTTAATAATCTTTCAATATCATTGGCATGTATTAAGGTTGACGATGACCAGCTGTCTCTTTCCCAAAGGGTGCTCCATTCTGCAGTATCATGTCACTCAACAGTAGAATGGATGTTAAGTCTATTAAGACTGCAAAAATACCTGTATCGATTGGTAAGATATTTTATGTATTGGTAAAGGAGGAGGCCTCCTCAGTGAAACAAGTCAGGAGGGCGTGTCTGGGCTTTCTTTTAAACACTCCTTAACCGCACGTTGATATATTCCTGAAATCAGTGTCATTTGAAGACACGGCCCTTCATAGCCTTGAAATTTACTTTGCCTGTGTTCATTCTCCATTGCCAAGGCTAGGTTTAGGTGAACCGGTCCTTTGACGTTGATATTTAGTCCAGGGACTCACTAAATGGACTGAACTTTTCAAGTACTATAAATTCAAAATTCAGAAGTGGGGAGAAAGGGTTGCTGATAGAATCCTCCAACATGCTCAGTATTGCCCAGCCTGCAGCAAAAATAAATTTAAGTGTGTTAAACACAAAACCCAAGGATGCAGAGCTCCGTAGCAGTCAGCAACTCCCACACACACTATCTAGGTTGGCACCCTTGCCGGCAGCACCCAGTATGGAGGTGACAAAAAAACGAGTACATCTTCCTCTTGCCAAACTGTCTGACGGAGTCAGCCTCACCATCAGTTCTAACATTCTAACCTCCTCTTTCTTCTTGCCAATGTTCCTGTAAATGCAATTTACTGTGAGATCAGCTGTCCCCAACTCAGACACAAGAGAAAATGTTGTGACTGTTGGTTGTGTTTTCCAGACTTTTGGGGCAGTTACTATGCTGATAGGCACGCTAAAATGAGAAGGTAAAGAACTCTTGGGAGGTGGGGGGGCGGAAATCACTGAAATGTGTGTACTGGAGGAGACAAAATAAAAAAAGGCTGCAAGCTGAAGTTAAATAAATGATAGTGCTAAAGACTGAACATAATTAGCTCGGGGAATCGGAACACCAACCCTGTGAGGGAGGCTGGTTATTACCCTGATTTTGCAGATGAGAAAGCTGATACCTGGATTAAGTAAATCACTCTTGCTCACCTGGGAAATCAGCAGCAGAACCGGCAGGTCTGTCAGCTTCCCGGGCGCATGCTCCTGACAATTGACTATTTGTCTGACCCCCTCCCCAAACCCAACTGATTTGTAAGCCCCACGGAGGCAAGCAGACAGACACACCATGGCATTACCGATGCCTGGCACACAAGGAAGCCCTCAAATGTTTGTTGAACAAATGACATAGTGAGTGAAGACTCAAGTGGATGCTTATTACTAACTCTTTACAATTGAGCTCATGTTTCTAAGGGTTGTCTGAATTTTGCTTTGTGAGCTTCCTTTCTTATAAACGTATGCCTAATGCAGACGAGTAAGATTTTAATGAACAAAAAATGTGTTGGAGGGTGGAAAGCCTAAAAAATACCAGTCTTTGACTTTCCTCTAATGAGACAGGTTACTCTACCTTCTTCCTGGCCTCCTACACTCCCTTCAAACCCGGCAGTAGGCCTAGAAGTGAGGTGACCTCATCCCCTCCCCCAGGCAGTCTCCTGGTCACAAAAGTCTACAGAACAGAGGTGGACACCAGCTGCTGTGTTCACTGACAGACAGACTGAAACTGCAGGAAACACACCAACCCTCTCACTGTGCTCGGAAACCAGCCTGCTGGTGACTGAAATCCAACTTCCCCTCTAGAGAGAGTCCATCGAAACTTCTATCACTTGGCCTTGCATGGAGGGGGGTACCATCCTCCCCTCCCCGTCACAGAAAACCTTCTCAGGGTGCCTTTTCTCTCCCAAGCTTTTCCTCATACAAATGTGAGAGGCTGATCATGGCATGACCAGGTCTGGTGTCTGGGGTCGGGGAGAGGGGATTGAAAGAAGTCATTGACCTAAGAGGCTGACATTATCTCATTTAATTATTAATCCGAGCCTAAAGGAATATTAAGGTCCTATTATCCCATTTTATACATTAAAAATCAAAGAGAGTATTGTTATCTAACATTTTTAAGGCTTGAATGACATAAGATGATTCTGTTACCTAAAGTACCCTGTTCAAAAGTGGAGGGAGGAAGCAAGACTGATGATGGATCACGCCATTCTCTAAATTCTAAAGTACAGTGATCTGGATAAAGGTTAGATGAATCTCATAAGGCCTCCGAAACACCATTATATTGTAGATCAGGAATGAGGGATGGGGAAGGGGACACCCAAGGAGTTAAGTTTTCCCTTCTATGCAAACAGAGTCCATCTTCTGAGCCACCAGTGGCCCCAGCCTGAACCAGAGGTTAGTTCCAGGCCTGCTACGGTTTCATTAAATGCCCACCACACTGAGTTTACCCATTTGGACCATTAGAACAAGTCTACCAATACTTCAAAATCATTATAATATTAAGTGTGACTGAACAGTCTATGCTGGGACCCTTAAAAGAAATGACCATAAAAATTAAAGTTATTGCCAGCCGAGTGGCTCAGTTGGTTAAGAGCTTGCTCAAGAGTTTGAGCTCTGAGCAACAGCGGTTCGATGCCCGGCCCAAGCTGAGCTGCCGCTAAGCTGCCAACAGGTAGTAGGATGGCTCAGCTTAAAATAAATAAATAAATAAATAAATAAATAAATAAAAATTAAAGTTATTTTCTGTTTTATAACCCATCAAAATATTAAAAGCTAAGAATTCATTTACTTCACCTGGGAAGCAAGTGCTCACAATGAAATATATTCATTTCCCACAGAATAAAGTGGATATCAACCATCACAAATAATTACATACAAATAGTTCATGGAAACAGACTTCCATAATCTACTGGATGCATAGCGATAAAAACAAAATGTGGCAAAATGTCCCTTTAAACATAATTATTTCAGTTTAAAAACACTCATTTTCGGGGCCGGCCAAGTGGCATGTTGGTTAAGAGCTGGCTTGGGACGCCAGAGGGCCCTGGTTCGGATCCCACATATATGGGCCAGTGACACTGCCCTCCACAGCTAAGATGCTGAACAACAGCTCAACCTGGAGCTGGGCTGCCGTGAGTCACCGGTGACGGCAGGTGGGTTGCCATGGGCTACCATGTGTAGCCAGCAGCGAGCGTGAGCGGCCAGCAGCCGCCGTGAGCGGCCATCCAGAAGCCGGCGACTGATCTGCCTCGCCCTGGAAGAGCGCAATGATGGTGTCAACTTGGGCCAGTGAAGCAACGTCCTCCACAACTAGACTGAAGAACAAAAAGATAGCAACTTGTCTGTTCCCCTTCCCCCAATTCCCCAATAAAAAAAAAAATCTAAAAAAAAAAAGAAAATTTGTTAAAAAAAAACAAACACTCATTTTCTTTACACCGCTATAATATATGCAACTGAAGACCACAGTAATGTGGTTTTACTTATATTTGGCAATAAACAGCTATATTACAAAAATTAGATTTCTAAGACTGAAGCATTTACCACAAACAGACAATAATTTCTCTCTTCCCTCTGAACGTTAAAATCATCATTAGGTGGTTTTGCTAAAAAAAAAAAAAAAAAAAATTTTAAAAACGTATTACCACCAACCAAGATGGATGCCTACTGGAAAGGGATTGTATGCTATGGTTTATTCAAAATGATTCTCCATTATTTTCCAGAGAAAGAATGTACTGAGATAATGATGGCTGAATATTATGAATACTCTTAAAGACTTATGAAAGGCTTTATATTTATGAAAAGGCTGTGGTCCAGCAGATTGCCTATCTACTGCTTGAATATCAACACACTTCCACATAAAAATAATGTCACACATGGCTGGGTAACCAGGCCAGCCCAGAGGAGCCCCAAGTACAACTATCCTGGGCTTCTAGTACCACTGAATCTAGCCACCAGGGGGAACACTTTCATACACAAGTGCACCCAGAACTCCAAGCCAGGACCCAAGCAGAGGCGCCCCACCCCCACAGAAAGCAGGGCTGCTCCTCCCTGTTAGATAGTGCTTTCATAAACCCCACCACCACACCAGCAGAAGGACTCAGACAAAAACATGGCTGGCAGGGAAGCAGGAGGGAGAGGAACCAGGGCCTAAGTGCCAGTCCTTAGATGGTTCCTCTCCCAATGGACCATTTCCTTCTCTTTCACGAGTCCCAAGGATGGGCCCGCCTCTTTTTCTTTGCACAGTTGCTCCTGACTGGAGGTTTTCTTCACACCCTGGGTCCCTATAAAACAGAAAGCACTTCCACAGTCTCTCCTCTTCCTCCTGCCCCCAAGGGACAAAACGTCCTTTTAAGATTTTTTTTATTTTACCATTTACAATCAGTAATAAAAGGCTATCGAGAGGAACAAAAGGGCTCCTCTCTCCTACAATTCCATCACTGTTTCACTCAGGCTTCCATCATTTGCTAAGCCAGACACTGGAGCACAAAGATGAATGGGGGGAGAGCCTGACCTCACGGAGCTCCGTCGGACAAGACAGACAGATCACATCCACATCAAAACGGCTGGCACAAATGCTCTAAGTAGTCTAGCGCAGCGGCTAACAGCACAGCCTCTGTTCTCACCGCATGGCAGGGGCACAACACTGCACTTGTCTAAGCCTCCATATATTCATCTGTATAAGGGCAATAATAATTGTAGCAAACGGTTACTGGAAATATTAAAGGAGGAGATAAGCGCTCTCAGCATAATGCTCGACACACAGAAGGCATTTACTGACTGAGAATTACTGTTATGGCAGTGGTAGGAAAAACAGGACTTTGAGAGAGGACCACGCAAACTAAGTGTGCGGGGGACTCCAGGGCGACTGCACTTAAACGGGACCTCCAAGAATGACGGAGTCTGCCCGAGGAGAGAGGAAGGGCGTTCTAGCACAGGCATGAGGCTGCAAGAGGCATTGGCACTGTGAGGCCTGATGGGGTCTGGAAGCCGGGGTCAAGGGTCAGCTGGGCAGATGAAGCCAGGGGAGCAGCACAGGCGCCTGCACGCAACCCCACAGCTGAGGGCGGGCGGAGGGAAGGGACAGGCTCCGATCTGGTCCTGGCTGTAACTACGAGAGCAGCGCCCTGCCTTCTACTCATCCACACAGAAGGCTGCTGGAGCCAGGTGAGACGGGGCAGGTGAGGCCAGATGCGAGGCAACTGCAGCGGGCCACAGGGGAGGGGGCCACTTAAGGAAAGGCTGTGGAGATGGAGCGAAACCAGGTCTCCGTTTAGACGTCACTCCGCTGGGAAGCCTTTCCTAGCTTGGGGGTTCTGGGGTAGGTCCCCTTCTCCTAAGGGCCCCTACAGCACCACAGACACCCCAAATCAGAGCTCCTAACAGTCGTAGATTCTTTCAGCAAAGCCATCAAGGCCTCATGTGGGCCAGGCCCTTGCTCAGCACTGGGAATACAGCGGTTAACAAGACAGGGAGAATGTGTCCTCTACAGGCTGAGGAGCTCACCTCCTGGGAGGGGAGGCAGATAATAAGCAAGTAAACAAATACACAGATTCAAGTGGTGCTAAGTGCAGTGAAGAAGAATAACACAGAGTATGGGGATAAAGAGAGACAGGCAGCAGAGGGGGAGGGGGATAGATCGTCAGGGACAGTCTCTCTGAAGAGGGACAGTCTCTCTGATCAGACACTGAGGTGATGAGGGAGCGAGGCATGAGGACCCAGGAGAAGAGCATTTCAGGCAGACGAAGGGGCACGTACAGCGTCCCCAAAGGTGGAACATGTACACAGACCAGAAAGGACACCAGTGTGGCTGGAACAGGGCGACCAAGAAGGAGGGTAAGGAAACAGGCTGGGAACCAGGCAAGGAGCAGGTGACGTACGGCCTTGTACTTTTAAGGCTGATGCAATGAATGCCAGTGCAGGGTTTTAAGAAGAGTGATAGGATCTGATGCATGGTAAGCTGAGATCATGCTGGCTGACATGGAAAGTCAGCTACAGGCAGAGGGCAGGCACAGGGGCAGGGAAAGAGCCAGACAGCCTCCATGATATTCCAGACGGGACAACAGGGCTGGCAATAGGTCGGCAGCAGAGGAGGTGGTGCAAATGGTCACATTTCAGATATAGTTTGAAGGCAGAGCTTGGTGATGAATTGGATGTGGGGTGAAAGAGCAACAGGAATCAGGTAGGAATTAAGTAGGCTTGGGGGCGTGGACAACGGGGTCAAAATGGTGGGCAGCTGTTTGAGAGAAGAAAGCAGCTTTGGGGGCAGGAAGAGGGGGACCAAATCAAGAGTTCTATTTGAGACATATCAAATTTGGGGTGCCTCTTAGGGACACAAGTGGAGATGGCAAGTAGGCAGCAGGTGTGTGAGTCAAGTGCTCAGGGAGAAGCGGGGCCAGAGATAAAATCAGCTGCACTTTCAGCAGACAGAGGCTGTCTTTAACCCCCGAGACAAGGCGAATCCCCTAGGTAACGAGTGTAGCTGGAGAAGAGGGTCCGATGATTAAACCGGCAAAGGTGACTGAGAAGAAACCGCCTAGAAGGAGGAAACGCAGGAGGAGGGCAGGGTCCTGGCAGCCAAGGAAGAGCAGGCAGGAAGGGGTGGTCAGAGGTCAAGTGCTGCTGAGCAGTCGAGAGAGAGGACTCTTGAAATGACCGCTGGATGAAGGTCACTGTCACTGTGACAAGCAGTGTCACTGGTGTGGCAGCTAAGGAGAAACAGGAAGGAAAGGAAGCAAATGTATACAACTCTTTTGAAGAAATCTGCTATAAAGGAGAGCAGAGACATGGCACCGTGGGTGGAGGGCAAGTGGAATACAGGAAAAGTGGATTTGTGTGCTGGTGGGAATGACCCAGCAGGGGCTAAGGAACGCGTACATTAGGAAGAAGGGGCATAAGTTCTTCAAATGGCTTGAAAAGCGGTCATCTTTAGTTACTCAAAATGCTGATAAAAAATAAAGGATAGTCCCTTTTTAACATTCGAGCGTTAACATGATTCTAGTAAACAGCTGAAAGAGATCTTAAGAGGCATATCGGTGGTTATTACAAGTTGGGCCAAAGCTAAAGTGAAAAAAAAATTTTTTTGAGAAATAACATTTTAACATGCAAAAGCAAAGAGCTTATTATAAAAATGGTATAAAAATGATATTATTTTTCATAAAATTTGCCTTTCTAGATGACAGAAAACAGCTCAAGATGACACTTGCTGAACTCATGGTTTTCTGCAATTTCCATGAGCAGGATATACTCACAGGCTACACTGATTCAGTCTGTAAAACTTGTGCCGCGCAACACAGAGTCTCCACACATACTTTGCTGTTTCCATGTCTTCCTAGCAAAGAAAATATACACACAGTAAGTGAAAGCACATTTGCACCTTGATAGAGTTTATGTGAGGACAAGACATGGGTGACACAGTATGGCAAGTCACTTTTATCACGCTGTCATTCTTTCATTTTCTACTACTGCCTATCACAGGAATGTTAAAACTAGGATTTTAAGTAAGACAAAAAAAATCTATTCCAACTGTGTGTTCTTATATTAAACAGTTTCAAAATGACTAAGAAATTTAAACATTACGGAACTTTCAGTTTGACAAATTGTTACTCAAAGACATTTTTAAACAAAATATTTGACTCAGTGACTCAACATTGCCTTTGTCAAGAGAGAGAAAAAGCAAATAAGTGTGAAACAATATTTCCACAGAGCCATTCACTCTCCAATGGAAATTAAGATATCAGTGCTTACTTTCTCCCTTACTTAGTCCCTTAACTTTAATTTAAAGATTATCACAATCAGGTAGTATTTATCCAAGGACTCCTTCATTCAACGATACATACTGAACACCTACTTTTTGCCAAGTGCTACTATATAAAATGTTACAAAATCTTATACTGCTTTATAAAACTGTGAAATATCATTTTAATGCCAGCCCCCCCAACCACACACAGAGGAATGCTAACTTGTTAACTTTCAGGAAAAAACATTCCATGCAGACTCCTAATGTTTACTTACAGTTTGAAACTGGATGGTCTCCTCTTTATTTGCCAGCTCTAACGCAAAAAAGGACTTATTATGGGACATGTTCGCAATATCATGCCACCTAAAGAACAACAAACACGAAATGCCGATGTGAGAGTTCATGTTTATACTAGGAGATAAAATATATTTTTTCCTTCTTGAGCTTGATGCATAAGATTTGTTAATTATTTTAGAAAGAAAACAGTTATTTTAATCAGCTAACATGCATTTTCTAATTGAAGTGATGTAAAACCTAGTTGCAAAAAGTATGAGTGCAAATGTATAAATGAGGGCAAAGAGTATTTCAAGACGTAAAATTTGTTTTTCCTCATTTGCCAGGTTAGATCCAAGGTCTCTATCTTAGTTGGTTGCCAGTGCCTCTTTTCTTCATTCAACAAACATCTTAGAGGACACCCATTTCAACAATGCCAAGGAACTGTGTTAGGTCCTAGGGACACTAGGATCAGTAAGGCACTGTGCTTCCCTCAACAGGGACAGCTGGGGGGTGGGGCTGAGACAGAGGACACAGAAGCCAGCAAGTATTGTTAAGTTTTGGAGGTAGGCCGGGTAAACCAAGGCACAAAAGCACAGGAGCAATGCTCTGAAAAGCATCATGGGGAAGACGAAGTTCAGATGCTAGGAGGCCAAACAGTGAGCTATTCTGGGTGTGTTCACCAGCATTCAAAATGCTATCTTGTACTTACTGCGTTTTACCACAGTTAGATTTTACATATTAATATTTGATTTTATGACATAAGCTGTAGAATTTTACGAAAGGGAAAAATGGGTCTGCGGGAAAAAATTTTACCCGTCTTTATCCTTCTCCGTTATTATTATTTAAAATTTATTAGAATGAATAAAATTAACTTGTAGTGATTCAGTGTTGAGTTGTTAAATCTAAGGATTATTAGCATCACAATAAAGACAATTTTAGAAATTCCTATCCGGTGTGATGAAGGAAGCCGGTCCACATCTCCAGCTTTCATGTGGCCCTTTGGGCACTGTCAGTCCTGCATTTCCAGGGCAGCCTAGGTCCATTTTCTGCCCCCTCCCCTCCAACTCAGCATGTTGGGAAGATGTAATGTGCAGCTCAGGGACGTGAGAGCGATTGCCAAAGGGAAGCCACGGGGCCCAGTGTGGTTCAGTCCAGGAGCGGGGTCCTGCTCCCCGAGCCTGAGTGCCTCTCCATGGTCATAACCACCACGGACGGCCCCAAAGGCAGTAAAGCAAAGGAAATGAAAGAAGAGATGTCAGCTTAGAGAAGGAAACCTTAAAAGGAAAAACTAGTTCTCACAAAGAAATAGTAGGGATGGATGATTTACAAAGCTTAAATAGCAGGGAATATTTTTTCCTTTAAAAGAGTAGTGAGGGGAATAAAAGCTGCTGCTTGCAGTGGAGAATCTGAGTTCTTGGCTATACCGGTTAACAACTCAGTGACCTTGGACAAATCACTTCACTGTTCTAAGATTCAGTATACTGTGTGCAAAATCGTAGGAACACCGTCTATTCAGGGTTGTTGTGGAGACTGTACGGGAAAACACACAGAAAGAATTCAGCATTGAACCTGGCTCATGATAAGCACTCAATACGTAAATGGAAAACACACAGGAGCCAAAGAACAAAATTGACATAACGTTTCAGTACTTTACTAAAACAATATAAACTTTTAATATTTCATCGAGATGATAAATCAAAATAGGTAGAATCTCAGTAAAACTGCAAATATTTCTATGAAGTGACACTTTAGGTTTTCTATTGGGTTGTCGGAAAAGTCATGATGTATTTTTTTCTGTTTTTCACTGCAAAAATGTGTCATGACCTTTCCGACAATCCAATAGATTACAAATTTTAAGGAATAAAGAGGGATCGAACAACATGGTCCAATTCACTACCTTTAAGACATAAACTGGAACACAGGATACTGAAAAGGAAATTGAGGTCGCCTGCAATATCCTTGCTCACAGCCAGCCACTGTGAGCACTATTATACATCCTTTCTGTCTTACTATAAATATTCTAAGATTTCCACAAATGAATAGTATCACTTTTTTTATAATCAGGAAAAAAACCAACAAGTGAAATCTGCTTAGATATTGGTATTTTAGGAATTTGGGGACATTAACTAGAGTCAGAGAAAGCCCTAGATTTCCCACAAGAACTAGCCCTAGAAACCAAAGCTCAAATGAAAAATTCACATCAAAACAAAGAATGGCCTCCATATAGTAAGAAAAGGGGCACATATTTTCAAGCATTTCTTAAGTCAGTCATCATTGTAAGTACTGTTTTCTGCACATTTGGTTTTGGTGAATGTGGCTTATAAAAAGAACCGCTGAAGTCAGGCAGTATTTTATTCTAGGGAGGGCATATTTCCATTTCCTTGGGAGAGACTTATGAGCAATAGAAGCAGTATAGAGACTAAAAAAAATATATATCACCAACAGGTACCACAGAAAGTGCACGGAAAGATATAAGAAAAATACCTAAATATCACAGGAGGCCTTCCATTCTTGTGTTTCACAAAGATACCTTCAAGGCATGCTCCGATGGATATGTCACTGCCTTGGCTATCCTGAAAGGAGGAAGCAGAAAAAGAAACACCTCAGGCAGCGGAGGCACAAGAACTTCAACTACACCTCGTCCCTTAAACTTGTTTCCCAGATAGAAAATGTTCAGAAGACCTACAGGACAACTATTCTGAAGGAAAAAAAGAAGTCGGAAAATTAGAAATGTTATCACCTTGTAAATACGTATGAATATAGGAAGAGATAGGCCCCTTAAGGAACTCTTTCAAGAGCATTCAAAGAACAAACTGCAAAACAGGGGTGTGTTTTACTACAAAATTTTGGCCACGAGGACCTCAGCTTTTAAATTTCTAGACGTTTGTGCATCCCCAGCCTCTGCGCAGCAGGGCATCCCTGGGTTTCCCACTGTGGTCCTGGAATTGCTGAGACAAATTTTGGAGAGCCTCGGGCTTCGTGTCATGCTGACCTTGGCAGGGTAGCTCTCTTCTCCGTAGCCATCCAGTCTCTCTGCCTCCTGCATGTATAGCATTTCAGCATCAGGGGCCGTGAGCCCTCTGCAACCCAAAAGAAGCTAGTTAGATTGTTTGCAAAACTAAAAATGAAAAAAACAAACATTTAGAAAAGCTTTTCTAAAACGCTACATGTGAATTTGGCACAAAGCATTATAAACACTTCAAGTCTCTAAGCGCCTGTCATTGATCACATCGATTCATCGGTAGTTACAGAACACTGACTACAGGCAAAGCTCTGCGCAGCTCACTGAGGTTGGTTATGTAAGATCTGTCCCTGGTACTTCAGGCAGGCAAGGGGAACGCAGGGGAGGACGACAACCCGCTAAAGCATCTTCAGTAAAAGCCAGGATTCTTTCTAAACTTGAGTAACTGCTTATTATCCCAAATATCAGGAAATACTGAGCATCGTATGGCAAATGCCAAATGATAAAAGTGCAGAACGTAAGAGTTAGGAGGATGGAAATCCTTTTTAGATCAAGCACAGAATGACAAGAATGGGCAGGAAGGCAGTGTGTGTAAAGAAGATGCTCAGACTGCATGGCAACGGCCTCTCTTCTGCTCCCCTACACGGCAGCCATCCCAACCTCTGCATTTCTCGGAGTACACACACCATGTTCCCTTATGCCTCTGGGACTCTGCACAGTGATCCCTGTTCCTGGTATACCTGTCACTCAGCTGTGCACCTGGTCAATCCCTAATATCCTTCAAGGCTGGGCCTAGGTATCGCTTCTTCTTGTTACCTTCTGCGATTCCCCTGAGTCTAAGTCAGATGCCCCTGGTTTGTGCAGACTCGCCACATTCTGTGCACATTTACCCACTGCTCCCATGATCTATTATTAGGATTATAATTACTGTTATACTACAATGGGTGGTCGCGCCTACCCCTTAGACTGCAAGGCAGGAAATACATTCTCTGATAGGGGATTGTTCTGTTTATCTCTGGACCACAGCATCCAGCACTCTGCCGCACAGAGAATAGTAATAAACCATCGTTTAAGGACATGCACAAATGAATAAATTAAAGTGACAAAAAACAAGGTGATGTATGCCTGAGGGACGAATTGTGCTGGGGAAAAAGATGGTTCATTTGAGATAGCAGAAGGTAAGGCTGGATAGGAAGGATTTAACCAATTTATCGGAGGCCTTTAATCCCAGGGGTAATGAACTCAGGCTAGTGAAGAACAAGAAAACATTCATGAGATTTGAGAAGGGGAGGGAAGTGATATTTTAGGCAGATTAATCCTGTGTGAGAGATTTATGGATTTGAGTGGGGAGACATTAAAGGTAAAAGATTATCTTTAATGGGAAAGGATGAATAATAGGTTATAACTAGACAGACCTGGGTTCAAATCCCACCTCTACCACATGTAACCTTGGGCAAGTTATCTAGTCTTTTTGAGCTTGGCTTCCCCAATTTGTAAGGAGATAATGACACTGACCTTAAAGAGTGGTTATAAGAAATGAAAGCTAAGGGGCTGGCCGAGTGGCTCAGTTGGTTAAGAGCTCGCTCAAGAGTTTGAGCTCTGAGCAATAGCGGTTCGATTCCCGGCCCGAGCTGAGCAGCCACTGAGCTGCCAACAGGTGGCAGGATGGCTCAGCTTAAAAAAAAAAAAAAAGAAAAGAAAAAAAGAAATGAAAGCTATATAAAGTACTTGGAACGGTGTGGTATTCGGTTTAGAATGAGACCTAGCATTCTCTAGGAGGGCATTTTCTTACTGACAACATGTAGATTCACAATCAAAGCAAGTCATTATCTCCCAGAAGGGGAGGTCAGGGCAATAAACACCACAGCGCTTAGCACAGCGTCTCCGGAGGACAGAGACACAGCTACCAAAGGTGCACAGGAGGGGAAGCCCTGGACTTGCTACATCACAAAAGAAACCAAGTCTCACTGATCACCTGCACGGGACCAGGTAGCACCACAGGCTTTAATATACGGGGTGAAGAACTGGCACCCTTCAATGACTGGCTGCTTTCAACATTCTCAGTTTCCTCCTTGATAAAACATGGATAATAAAGGACCTAATATGGGTAAGTGCTTAGGCCAGCACCAGGCACACAGTGAGATCTATGTAAATATTGGCTACTCACAGTAGGGGTAGGAGTTGCAGCAGCAGTAAATTTCCAAATATGTGTCAACGCATATTTCAAATTCAAACAGGCATTAGTTCTACATCATTTGCATTTCTTATTTTTTGGCATTACCTGTATTTCTGATGCAGTAAGGCCACTTTTTGGGTTGCCTCTTCCAACACTTTTTCATCTTGTAACCACCCCTGAAGAAAACATACTGCAGTCAGTACATAAGCAAGTCACCCAAACTTCTTAGTAAAAAATCATTGCTACTGAGTCTTACTGATGCTTGTCGCTATCAGGCAAAACTAGGAATAGTGTTAATACGAGGGAGCTCTGCTTAAGTATGTCATCATGATCTTTCGAAAAAATTAGGTGGCTCCTGCTGAGGAGCCAAAGCACTTGCCCTGCCTTTCCAATTCTCCCTGAGAAAGTGTCACCTGAGTGACTCCGGTCGGGTGACACCCACCAGCCAGTCCTGACCCCAGCACAGTCCCCTGGCTTGCTATGTAGACATGGAGACGAGCCACCATCCCCTTCGCTGTTCCAGGGTACATTTCTCCTGTCAATTCCATCAGGAGTGACTTTAAAAAGCAGAAAGCAGTGTGTTTTTGTCATCCACTTTTTAAACTGCTGATGAAAAGCCAAATTCATTGCAGCCTCATTTTGGGAGGTTTCGAGCCTTCAGTTGAAAGTAAAACCTCTGTGTGGTTCCTCGGAGCTGGAAATGAATCCCTCTTTAGACTCACATCCAAACACAAAACACACTTCCCCGGCTGCAGCCCAGTGAGCACAGGTCCTTCAGTTTCCGTGGGTTTACAAGGACCAAGAAGGGCAGGACAGGAAACGCACTTACACTTGAGTTGTTTGTAAGAGGGAATTTATTTTTTAATACTATTCCTCCAGAGTAAGTCTACCATATGGACTTTATTTCAGGGACTATTCAGGCTATGGAAATAAATGGTTATAAAAAGGTCCAAGGTCAAAAGCAGTCTTACCACAGGAAACAAGGCAAATTTCTGAAGAAAGTCCTGGGATTCATACTGATCGAAGTCACCAAAATCAGCTATACAAAATGATAAATATTCACATGTCAATTATGTTTAATTTACATGACAAAACATGCACAACTAAATTCAGTTCGCAGCATATGGATGGTGTGCTTATGATTCACAAGTCAAATTTGCCTTATAGCTACAAAGAGTATATTTAAAAATATCTTTTTAAAAACATTAGGTAGAGTCATGTGTCTTGACTTCGAAAAATGCCTGTTAATAAAGTGAAAAAACAAGTTACAAATTATATGTAATATGATCGCAGTTTTATAATTAAAAAAAAAAATGACCCTATAATCATGTATGCTTACTTATGCATAGAAAAATGTCAAGCAGAAACCAAACTGTTCATAGTAGTGATTACCTCTAGGGGATGGAACTGAATGTGTTACAGCAAGATGTATTTGTTTAGAATTTTTAGTTGGTAAAAAAAAAAAAAAAAAAAATTTGATAGTTCAGCAAAAAGCTTATGAAAAACTAACTCTTAAAGCCAAAGATGGTGCTTAAGAAGATTCAAAGTACCTTGCAAAGGAATGTGGCTGCGTGTGTATCAGGCACTTGTTTGTCTAGAAGTGAAAAATGTCTCCATGCCTACTAATATCTGAAGGAATTTTAGTAATGATTCTTCTGATTAATTTTCAGTTCCCAAGATTAAATGCCAGTTACGTGAATTAATGCCCCATCAGAAGTCTTCCCAAAGTATATACATTCATATGAATACAAATAGATTAAATATGTAAAAAATAACAGAATTAAACAATTCAAAACTAGTTGTGAAATGCAAAACTTTATCTATTATGACTGATGATGCTCTACCATCCAGGACAACTATTTAAGAAACCAAACAAATGACATAAGCCTAAAGTATAAGAGATCAGAACCTGATCAAACTCACTGTTTGGCTGATTTTTCTTCCTGAAATATTAGCTAGCATCAGATCATGTCCTTGAACTGGAGTGATACATAGCATGTTAAATGCTGTGTGTGTGTGTGTGTGTGTGTGTGTGTGTGTGTGTGTGTGTTTTCTCTATTTTTGGTCTGTTTCTCTGGTGACCTATGATAACATGCTTAACCTTTCAGAAGTCTCATTTCATTAAAGTAATCCAAATTCATTTTTCCCACAAGGAAGCCCCTTAAATAACAGAATAATATTTCACTAATATATAAACGCTACTCTAGAAATTCAATGACTTTAAGAATTTCTTGTTGTTTTCATTATAACACATTTTAATCTGATAGATCTATTACATTATCAATTGTCATTATTTACCTTGAACAGCTAAGCCTGCTAGCTGAATTGCTTGTTCTAATGTACAAGGAATGTTTCCTTCCAAGATATCTTTCTTCAGCTGCAGATAATACTGGTACCTATTTAAAAAAAAAGTCAATTATAAAAAGTCCTTATCAATATTACTTCCAATTGAGACAATGCAATTTACCATAATTTGGTAGAGGAGCATAAGCTAATCAAATTAAACCTATACCCAAGATAGTTTCAAAGAATGACAAGAATGTCCTTGACTGTATCTACACCTACAAATACAAGTACACACACACACACACACACACACACGCACACACACACACACACACTGTAATCAATTTATTGAGTCACTTATCCTTAACTGCAGTTATTTCAAATCTACAACCATGTAGAAGACAACTGACCATCTGCCTTATTCCCTATAAGGCAACCCCTACACATTTTTGTGAGTTGGAGAAATGGAGAACCAATGGCCAATCTTTACTTTGAAAACTCTGACTAGTAACTTGGTAACATAAGACTTTGCTTACTTTGATGGAAGTTCCCTAGTCCTGGAAAATAAAGCCAGAAGAAAATGGTTCCTGATATTTCAGACCAGGCTTATATTAAAATATTTTAGATGAAATCCCAAAAAGAATAGCTAAGAGGCTTTCTTAATATTCTTGTAATGTGGGTTTACTTCTTTCTCCACTTTCAACATACAGAGCATTGGTTACCAGCACAAGCTTCAGTCAAGCAGACAGACCCAAGTTAAATTCCAGCTCTCCAACTTAGCTTTCTGCATTAATTTGGGCAAGTCATAATCTGTGGGTTTAAACTATCACTGGTAAAGTGAAGTTTCATCTTTCACTTTCATCCCTCCACAAGGTTGAACTATCATTCCTCCAAAAGGTTGAACATATGCAAGGAATATATTTAAGGCTCTTAGCACAATACAAGAGCATAGCCGGCTCTAAATAAACCATAGCTATTATCATTAGTATCAGTAATCACCTACTTTAAGCCAGTCACCAGTATTTCATCTGTTACCACTTCTCCATTTTGGTAAAGCTCTACAATGAAGATTTATTCTGCCTTGCTTTTATTTATTCACTTAACAGATAATTACTAGGACCTATGGGGCCTCAGGCATTGTTCTAGATGCTGGGGATACCGTGTGAAATGATCCACCAACTCTCTGCCAATACACTCTAGAAAGCCATCTTGAATCCAGAATCTCTTCTAGATTTGGTGTCTGAGAAGTGCAACCCAGTTACAGTTCATATTTGAATTCCCCTGAGAGTCCACCCCTTTAATCGTTTTGTATGTTACCTTACATCGTCCTCTTTTATTTTATTATAGCTAGCTTTAAGGTCTCCATTCTTCATTACCAAAGCACGTGACCAAAACACCATCCATTCAGATAAGTGTTTAGAGTCAACTTATCCCTTCCCACCTCCTAGTAGCAGAACCCACAGGTTTCCCTCAATCAGCCAACAGAATGTGACAGCTCTGGGATTTTGTCAAAGAGGAAAACTTGAAACTTTCTATTAGGTAGCTCCTTTCAAAAGCCTATTTGAAGAAGGTTTTATTTTTAAAGTCCAGCAAGTTACCAGGAAAGTTTGTCATGTTTGAAAACTGGTATCTTCTTTTTATCAGATAATGAATGATGGGACTCATCACATTCCTTCTTTTGCTTTGACTGCCATGAAGCTCACAGCTAAAGTCCAGCCATAGCCAGTCATTAATATCCCTCTTGTTACCCTTAACCAATCTAAGCAACATGCTCAGACCCACAAGGTAGGCTGAGCTGGAGTTTGAATCCAGGTCTGAATGACCCCAAAGCTCATGTTTTAAAATGTCTCAAATCTCTAATTATGGATTTTTCTAGTATTTTTATCATATTGGGTTGTTGGAAAAGTCATGACGCATTTTTGCAGTGAAAAACATAGAAAAAAATATGTCATGACTTTTCCAACAACCCAATATTTTTTAAAGTATTTTTATACTAGAGCCCATAGAAAATGGTAAGAGCAAGGACTCTGGAGCCATCCTGCTTGAGTTTAAATCTTGGTTCCACTGCATAATAGCAGTGTGACCTTGGGCAGGTATTTATTTAGCTTTCCTATGTCCTCATCTACAAGATGGAGATAATAATAGTACCTACTTTGTAGGATTTATTGTGAGGGTTAAATGAATTAGTAAGTATAAAGTGCTTGGGATAGTGCTTAACACACAGGAAGAAGCATTAGTGGTTGCTTTTATTATTATCTTTCATTGCATTGTCCCTAAAATCCTTTATACAAAGCAAGCAGGAGATACATATTTTTTAAGCATTTACTGTAAGAAAAAACCAAGAAATTTTACTTCAAAGGTATTATCACATTCCATTAACGAACAATATTTGCTAAAATTTTAATGTTAGTGGGGCTAAGGATGGCTTACAAATATGTCTTTTAAATATTTATTATAAAAGGAACAAATCATTTTTAAAAACGTGGTAATAAAAGGTAACATGCAAACCTGAATTCAAACCTGTTTGTAAACAAAGGAATGAAAGAGACTGTACATCATAATTCTAAAGCAAGCATTCCATAAACTTGCCCAAAAGCAAATATGCTGATTAAAACTACTGGGTTGTCGGAAAAGTCATGACACATTTTTGCATCAAAAAACAGAAAAAAATATGTCATGACTTTTCCAACAACGCAATAAATAAAGGGACGGCTGAGTGGCTCAGTTGGTTAAGAGTTAGCTTAAGAGCGCGAGCTCTGAGCAACAGGGCCACCGGTTCGATTCCCACATAGGCCAGTGACGCTGCGCCCGAGCTGAGCTGTCACTGAGCTGCCAACAGGTGGCAGGATAGCTCAGCTGGTGAAAGCATGTGTCCCTAACAAAAAGACTGCCTGTTCGATGGTGGGCTATGCCCACCTGCAACTAAAAATGAACTCAGCACCTTGAGCAGAGCTGCCACCCAGATGGCTCAATGGATGGTGCGTGCGCTCTTAACAACAAGGCTGCCAGTTCAACTCCCGCATGGGATGGTGGCTACGTCCATCCTCAACTAAGATTGTAACACAGCACCTTGAGCTTAGAGGTCACAAGCTGCCAACGGGTAGCCAGATGGCAACTGGTGCCCTCCACAAGTGAGACTGAAGAACAACAACTTGACTGGTCCACCTCCCCAATTCCCCAATTTAAAAATAAATAAATAAAACCTATAAAAATTTTATCTAAATCTTTATCAACTTATCAATCAACTTTCTAATATAAAATAGTTTTACACAAAAAATATTAATTAAATAATTATAATAGATTAGATGCCTTATTTTTCACAACAGAACACTTAAATAATATGTAAAAAAGTAGTCTTCACCTGTTTTTCTTAGGCTAGTAAGAGAAGGCTAATGTACAGGTATTGGATTTTTCATTTTTTAAGTATTATTATGGAAATTTTGAAACAGATCTACAGAATACATACAATGAACCCCCAAATCCTTATGCAGCCTCACCAATCAGCTGCTGTTTCCTCTATTCTCTCCCCTCCCTCACCCTAAGTGTTTTACAGCAATCCCAGATATATCACAGTACCTACAGTATATATCCCTAAAAGGTAAGCTTACACACACACACACACACACACTTTTAACATACCCAACAAAATGAACAATAATGCCTTAATACTATCCAATACCCAGTCCATGTACAATTTTTGCAATTGCCTCAAAAATGTATTTTTACAGCTTTTTTGAAAATCAGGATCCAAACAAGGTCCACAGATTACATTTGACTGATATTTCTAAATTTCTCTTAATTTTAAAAAAGATGCCTCCTCTTTATTTTCATGTTGCTTACAGACAAACAAAATGAAGTTGTCATGTAGAAATTTCCACATTCTAGATTCATCTGATTGTACTCTCATGGGGTCATTCAACATGTTCATCTATTCTCCCATTGTTTCCTGTGAACTAACTGTTAGATCTCGAGCAGAGTTGTCTAACAGAACAATCTGCAGTGGTAAAACTGGTATACGTCTGTGCTGTCCAATATGGTAGCCATCAGCCACATTTGGCTACTGAGTACTTAAAGTGCGGCTAGTGTGACCGAGGAACTGAGAAAGGCCCCTTAAAGGAACATGACTTAGCTGAGAGGAGGAGCAGTTTTACCCTTTTGCAACATGAATGTGACAGCTAGAACTTCTTTAGAAGTCTGACTATGAGGGTACCTAGCAAATGGAAGAACATGTTGAGTATGGTGGCAGTAAAAGAGAAAGAGCATGGGTCCTTGAAGACGTTGAGGAGCTGTGATATGAGCTCTGCTTGGCTGACCTCTGCATGTCTTTTACAGCAGAAATCAAAGGTATTTAGGGTTTTGTTTTGTTGCCATTATGTATAGCCATATTTAATCCTTACTGATACAACTTTTCTCTCTAGCAGGTTCTCCTACACCTAATCAATCCTACTGGTTGAATCTACCAGGCATTTCCTTCTCAGCTCTTCCTACGGCTAATGCTTTTGTTTAGGCCCACATTCTACACTAATGCCTAGATTATGGCATATACGTTCCTAACTGGTGCCCTGCCTATATCATCTTGCCACCTCTAATCTACCTTCTATGATGGCTGATCTTTGTAAAATGCAAATCTCATCATGCCATTTCATTAAAATTCACAGAAATGTCTCTCCTCCTTGTACCATGACTTCACCACTAGGACATTCCATTTTTAAAATCTCCTCTGTCTTCTCTAGGAAGAATCTGAAACTCCCTGAAAACACCAGTCAATTTCACTATCCCCCTACTTTGCACAAGCTATTCCCTCTAACTAGAAAATTTCTTCTAACGTCAATTGAAAAGTCAGTTCTTTACCCTCTCTTCTGGTCATGCCCCACACCCCACCTTAGAAATCCAGTACTTGAATTAAAGTATTTATTATCATAACATACCATCATTGTTTATTTACATGGACTGTCAGTTCCACCAGACTGTAAGCAACTCCTCCAGGGTATGATTAAAGCATATTTATTTGTGTATTTATCTTCCACGGTAACCAATATAGTTCTTATATCATACCATATTATCTCTTCCATAAATGTTTGAATCAGTGAGTCAGAGTGATCAATTGCCATTTTATCCTCCTGGTTTCTACTTCTCCAATATTTATATCTCAGATCTGTTTTATAGTCAGTGCATGTTTATCCCTACTACCTGATTCTTCTTTGCTACTATCTTTGGTTTTCCACCTTCCAATAATTAGCTGGCAAACTCAGTATTGAAAAAGAATATTTCACAAACACAGGGCAGCACCAGGCTCTTACTATCTGCAGGGCACTGAGTAACATAGTGTACAAAAGGTAAAAGTTAAGAAAACATGGGGTTAAGACCTAAGGCAATGATAAGATATGTACACAAATAACTACAATGAAAGGCTGTGACAACGGCCATCTTATCACAAGTACAAGCAAATTCTAGGACGGTCTGGAGAAGGCAAAGCTCATTCAGCCTGGGGGTTACAGAAGCTTCCCGGAGGAGGTGCCTTCTGAGCAAAAATTCAGATGATGAATAGGATTCCAGTACATAAATAGAAAAGAAAGATCTAGGAAACAAAGATAAAAAGGCATGAGGCATGTTCAGGGCACTGGAAGTAGGCCAGCTTGACTCAAAATTAATGTTCAATAGGACTAAAAAGATAAGGCAGTGATGGATTTCAGAGAACTTTGAAAGACAGGATCAAGAATCCAAATTTTATTCCTTGTTTTTTGTTGTTTTGTCTTCAAGAAAGAAGAAAAAAAAAAAAAAAGAATATTTAGTTCCTCTATCCAGCGCCTTAATATGACCTTGCCTTTCTGCCTTTGTCCCTTTTAAGTGCACCTGACCTTAAACACCTCACCACCTTTCCATCTTCCTCCAACCCGTTCCCCCTCTCACCTGTCTATGGAATATAACTACTGGAGTCAGAGAACCAGAAGAACCCTGCGGGACACTGAAGAATGAACCCAGATTCTGTGACTAATTTCCTGTTAATCCCCTCTCTCGTTTCATTGTTTGAGAGATCAGAAACAAATCAACAAAAACATTAAAGGTGGCATCACTACAAGAAGAGTTCACAGCCAGGGTAAAAACATGTTTCCCCTTAATCATCCCTTTGCGCTGCACCTAGTGAACCCACAGCTCATGCGACATGCAATAAAACGCTCTGACACACCACATACCAGAACCGCCATGTGATATAGTGGCTGAAATGGTGGGGCAGAGGGCAAAGTTTAGCCTTATCTCCGGACTTCAACCTTAGTTTCACTTTTTTAATCTCACTAGATTTTTTCCTAAAAGCAAATGGCGTGGTATTTCTCACCTGGTAATCTCCTGCTGCAGCTGTGAGACAGAAGGCACATAAAAAACCACTCCAAAATAGACGGTCGGTTCCAACGCGTATTTATCCAGCTGCTTCTTTAGGGGTTTCTCCAAATCTACCCACCGGCGCTGGTTTTGCTTGTTGTAGTACCAGAGACTGAAGTAGGTGACCTGGGAAGAGGGAAAGTCACTGAAGGAGGCAGAAACGTACAGAAGGGTTTCTATTCTTGAATTGCTCCATGACCTGCAACCAAGTGACAGCAGTCTCCCATTGCTTCGCTTCTCAGAGAGATAATAGCAAAACCAACAGAAAACAAACAAAAAAAGGGGCAAGATCTATCTATATCTAGATATTTGTATTCAGGAAAAAGAGACGAAAAGTCAATTACTCTTGCAAACTCTTTCTTAAACTCTGCACACACAAAAATGCTTTCATGGCCAAGACATCAGAATGTATAGCGGGTGCTATGAAAATTTGCATACAGTTTTTAACAAAAACTATATATCTACTGAGAAGTTTAGTTTTTAAAGGATTGAAATACTAAATTTACTATAATTAATATTTTATAATAAACATACCTGGGGTTCTACCTACTGAAATTCTGATTAGTGTTAATCCAACCTTTCACTACTCTCAAATTTGGCTTCTATAAATAAATAAGTTTGTGGAAGTATTGTAAATTTTAGTAACATAATGAAATTTCAAAACTGCAACTGTTCTTTGTTCTCCAAAGTTCATTAGATGCAAATTTAAAGCAACTAAAACACTATGGAGGTAAATTCTCTCTCTCTCTCTCTCCCTCTCCCTCTCTCTCTGAGAGAGAGAGAAAAGCTATCCTTAAAGCAGAAAAATAGCTTAAGTGTATTACTTGAAGGTTTTAAAAAATGCCCAGACATTAGCATTTAGATCTCACTTGCCGGGTTTTGAAACTGTTCAGGTAAATCAATACCAGCCCTGGGCTTGGTCATCCTGAAAGGGTATTATTAATACACTTAAGGGTTGAAGAGACAGCCTCAGGCCACTGCTAATATTTACCTCAAAATCAATTTACAGTCAAGGTAATTTTGGAAAAACCACTGCTTTGTTCTAGACGCTGGAGCAACACTATTAAATAGAACTTTCTACGATGATGAAAATGTTCTGTATCTGCACTCTCCAATACAGCAGCCACTAGCTAGCTACGTGTGGCTACGGAGACTCGGAACGTAGCTCATGCAGCTGAGGAACTGCATTTTTAATGTTATTTTATTTTAATTGACTTAATATAAAGAGATGCGGGCATCTAGTGGCTATTGTATTGGATAATATGGCTTTAGAGCAACAATAAAATGAGAAATAATAATACTCAGGCTAGTTTTTTAACCTGAATTTTTAATTTACAGGGGAAAAGTAATTATACAAACTTGCCCTCGATATTCATTTCAAATCTTACAACTTTTTACAAGGGAAGAACTATACCTTTAAAATGAGTCTGTTAATCAACTAAACTTGACAAGAGTGAGGAATATGTCCATTTTCCCTTGATAGCCAACAGCTGGAATAGTACGGAATTCAATCAATTTTGTTGAATGAAAGAATGAATATTTTCTTCTTACTTGCCACCAAGCCATCACATATGAATGGAATGTTCTGAATGTTCACTGTGTACCAGGTTCTGTTCCAAGAACTATAGCAATATCATAGATTAAATCATCACCATAACCTTATGAAATAGATTTTGTGTGTGTGTGTGTGTGTGTGTGTGTGTGTGTGCGCGCGCGCGTGCGTGTGTGCACGCGCGCACGTAAGTGTTAAGCTCTAAAGCCAGTCTTTCTCCCGGTCTACCTCTACCAGGGTTACCTGAAGAGCTTCTTGAGCCCTACAGTGCAATCTTTTGCCTGCTAAAGTTTGAAAACTGCTGCCCTACACCACACTGCTCCTCCAGTGTTATGCAGGAGAGAGCTATATGGATCTATCCTTGAAAAGCTGCATGCAAATCAAATTTCTGAAGATCCAAACTAACTTCAATTCAGCAGAAAGTCTGAGTCCTAGTATTACTGATTTTCTGAAGTTGTGATCATGTTCATAAATGAATTACATGTTATATGCAAGGATAGGATATGTATCACATTTATGGAAAACAGATATTATTCCTTCTTTGTTTTCAACTGCAATTTACAGAAAAGAAAATTCTGATTTAACAGAAAGAACACAGTACTTAAAGTCTGAAGTCCTGGGTTTAATTCCCAACACTGCCACTTGCTAGCTGTGAAGTGGAAACATCAATCAGCCCAACTCAGCTTTCTCAAGTGTAAAATAAGGTAACACCTCCCTCACAACTCCATCGTGAGGAATGAATGCAAAACTTTTTGAGTGCATTTTGACATTGGAAAACTACTATTATATCTTTAAAAGATTAGTTTTACACACTCTCCTAAACACCCACAAAATCAATTACAGATACCTAAAAAAAAAAAACTTTTCTAATTAGTGACATTTATTTGGATTGATTGCAATGCAGTACATTTCTATTACTTGTATTTATGTTTTGTGTTCCATCTTAGAGCTGGACTGAATGTACATGTTTGGTCTATAACATCCATGGTTACGCACTTAGCTCTACAAATATTTATATTTTGCCATAAACGCAGAAGGTTTGCCATCCTTTAGGATCTAAAGCTCTTTTGGTCCTAACAGTAACCAAAATTAAACGGTCTTAAAAAATATACATAGGGCCGGCAGAGTGGCACGATGGTTAAGAACTGGCTTGGGATGCCAGAGGACCCCGGTTTGGATCCCGCATATGAGGGCCAGTGACACTGCCCTCTACAGCTAGATGCTGAACAACAGCTCAACCTGGAGCTGGGCTGCCGTGAGTCGCTGGCGACGGGTAGGCTGCAGCCCCTGTGGCAGTGGGTTGCCATGGACTACTGTATGTAGCCAGCAGCCAGCGTGAGTGGCCAGCAGCCGCAGTGAGCGGACGTCCAGAAGCCGGGGACTGATCTGCCTCGCCCGGGAAGAGTGCAATGATGGTGCCATCTTGGGCCAGTGAAGCAACGTCCTCCACAACTAGACTGAAGAACAAAACGACAGCAACTTGTCTGTTCCCCTTCCCCCAATTCCCCAGCACTGTTCCCATCCCCTCCAATTCCCCAATAAAAATCTTAAAAAAAAAAAATACATAACTTTTCAAAAATTTAAACAGAATTATAAAACTATAGGTTTATTATATAATTAGTGGTTGTACCTTTTGTGAACTGCTCATGATATAAGTACAAGAAAATATCTAATATTTTGCTAGTATTCTAAAAAAGGCACATTCTAAAAGAAATAAACTCTTAAAATGTGCTAAGTTTATTTATTTTAGCAGTGCATATATTAGTCATGCTACATACGGACATAAATCAAATAGAAAAAGAAATACACTTGGGAAATTGCATCCTAGTTTTTTTATGTATTATTATATATACTTTATAAAGGAGTAGCAAGGTCTTTATCTAATTGTACAAACAGCTGGAAGGAATAGATTTAGCAAATTATTTGTTGATTAGCTATTTTAGACGTAGGAGTCTAAGATTTTGGACATTTGAACGTTAACTCATTTTATACTGTAGTAAAGTATTTTCTTTGGTACTTGCCCTTGTGTTCAAGTTCTATCTTAAGAAGTAGTTAAGGCTAGCCAAAACCAAGTTTATATTTTAGTAAATACTTCCAAGGAAGTGTCATATTTCAAAAGTTGCTGCTAGAAATGTTTATATACACGTGTGTAATTAAAATCTCATAATATTATATAACCCTTGGATTCAATGCTTTCTTAGAATTTCTACATATACATAATCAAATAACACCTGATTCCATGAGATTATTTGACTATAATATGATTTGTTTCTAAGATAGGTAGGTCGAGTTGGAGCAACAAAATGTTGTGATTAAATTCTCATCAGGTATAGGATTTTCTATATGTCCATTTTGGATGATTTGTCTGGGATCACAATCTTGAGAATCTGGATAAGTTAAAACCCATCCAAAAAAGCAAAGGTCGGGGGTGGGGGGCAATCAAAGACGAGAGAACAAAATATCCAGAATAGATAAATCCAGAGCAATGGGAAGCAGACTGGTGGCTGGGAGGCATGGAGTGGGGGCTGGACGGGATGGGGAGTAACTGCGTAATGGGTGCAGGGTTTCCTTTTAGGGTAATGAACATGTTTTGGAACTAGTCAGAGAAGGTATTGTGAATGTACTAAATCACTGAATAGTTTACTTTAAATGATTAATTTTGTTATGTGAATATTTTCTCAAAAAAGATATTTAAAAGATCAGAAACACTCATAATTAAAATCAAGTACAGAACTTTAAAGTTTTATTTTTAAATGTTTAAATAGATGAAATTCAGTTTGTTTGAACCAGTCTAAGGAAAAAAAATGAGCCCTAAATAGATGAGCTTAGCCACAAGTTAATTATATTTTCTATTTTCTCATATCTATACTTAGGTCAATATTTTGTACAGTTTGACAATTATCTGGCAACCCCAACTGCCTAAACATAACTGAATAACAAAGAATCAGCAAAAATGTGTTTGAATGATGAATAATACATGTCAAAGTCAATTTAGTTATAAAGTATACAGCCCTGACAAAGAAGACTTTCTCCTGTCTCTTTTATGAACCTTTAAAATTTCATGCATACTTTTAACGGGTTTAGTGATTTGGTTATCCTATTCAAAGAAGATTTTAAAATGACAAATGCCAGGAAAGGGGCTTTCCAAATAGCACGTTGGCCGCAGTAGGAAGTGATGGGTAATATTTTTTCAGCAAGAGAGAGCACATGCATATAAACAAAACCCTTTAAAAAGAAGCTATAAAGAATTTCAAAGACACAGTAGTCTGGAGTTATTTATCAAAGAAACAAATAACTCTAAACACTAATTAGTCATGTATTTAACAACCGCCACTGTCGCTAATAATTAGTCAGTGTCCGTTTGTTTAAGACGAATAGAGAAAGTTTATAAATCTTTCCAAAGACTGTCATTAAAAATAGTTGCCTGGACAAAAGAGTAACTCTTGGTTATTAGGCAAAGTATTGAAGATTCACTTCCTCACTGCGTCCTCAGTTTCTTCAGAGGGAAAATAACAACACGTAACCTGCCTTCATCAGAAAGTTGTATGGAAGTACTTTGTAATTTCTCATTGTG